AGAACTACGAGAGTGTCAATTGTGGATCCAACCACATCACTGAAGTTTATATGAACAATCCGCGCGCTTATTGGAAATAGTTTCTTTAAAGGAGGGAGAGTCTGCGAAATGCTCTATGGGTGCATCAGATTCAGATGGAAAGCGAAAGCCACCTCTGGCGACGTTGAATCAGCGCTGCAAGATTTATCCACCTCAGAATGGAGTTTTAATCGATCTGACGCACCACCACCATCTGACCGCTTATACATTAGCGCATATGGCTTTGGGTCATTGTTTACGCCGGAAAGAGAGGTAGGTGGTCATGGAACCGAGTGCCAATTCACCTGTACAAGCACAGGAGAATATTGATGAGATAATCCTTTCTAATACTACTATCTAATCCTACCTAAATACTCCATTTGAAGAAATTCTGTTATGAGTAAGTTCCGTCACTGCGGCCCAAAAGAACACGTAAGACCAAGAAACACCAGGACGAGTGCCCGATCTAGCAACAATGCTAACTTGGGACGTCGAAGAAGTGCTGGTCTCCGAAAGAGTTTGACTAGCTGTGGCGTCAGTCACCATTTGGGAAGACCCTATAGTTGTAGGGAATACGAGTATTATCCATAAAATTAGGAATGTCATTCTAATTCCAGACTCGACTCGACTCGACTCGACTCTAGAGTCCAGACCTCATGAAAGGGTAGATTTGGATTTACTCCGGAAAGTGAAATCGAGAAACGTTTTGTTTCGTTTCGTTTTCGCGTCTTGGGAAAGCAGAGGCAGGTCAGGCAGGGTGCCGTACACTCTACTCTGAAAGAAGAAGAAGAAGATGTTGCTTGCTGATATATATTTTTTGGGGTACTTGTTGTAACAGCAAAGGGGTGGAAAAAGCATAATTATAGAAATGCTGGAGGAAAAGAACTTTTCAGAACAACGGACGGAGTATGTATATTTCGATTTGAATTCCCAATTTCCCATGGGCTGGAAGTTCATTGGACTGAGAATACTTATTTGGAAACACTAGAAGGTGAAGAAGGGGGGGGGGGAGAAGGAGAGATGAAGGAGGAAGGAGGAAGACAAAAATAACGACGCTGAGCAGCTTTGAGAAATTTGAGAAATTATACATGGTGAACCGAAGCGCCCCCTTTTCTTTTATTTACTAAGTTCTACTGTAATTCTAATTCCAATTTCTAATTCTAATTCCAATTCCAATCTCAATATAAAGATAAATAAAAATCAGCTTATTTATTGAAAGCCAAGCCAAGCAAGCTAAATTCTGTATTCTTTGAGTATTCGAGTATATAAATAACTTTATTAAATACTTTATCAAATAACTCGATAGAGAATCTCGATATAGGATCTCGATGCAAATTCTCGGAGTGGCGGAGTGTTTGTTGAGTGGGTATCCAGGTATGTAAAATGTAACGTGAGGTGTAAGAGATTAGGTTGTTGTTGTAGAAGATGGAAGATTTCTTTGTTTTTATGTTTTATAGTATAGTGTAGTGATGTGACGTAATGTGACCAATATTGGTATAGAATATATGGGTAGTTGGTAGTTGTGATGATTGGATTAAATTGAAGAGACTAGGTAGGTAGTTAGATGGAAGAAAAGATAGAAGATGGTTGGAAGGAAGATAATTGAATAGAATGTAATTGGATTGGATAGAAGGAGATTAAAGAATCAATTCTAATTTAACTCAGAAAAGAAAAAAGTGGAAAGTATACTCGAATAGAACTCGAATAGAAGAACAAGATCTTTGTACCTAAGGACAAAGGTAAAGGCAAAGGCAAAGGCAAAGGATGACCTCTGGTTGGGGGAGAGGGGGGTTATGGTGTTGGATGGATGATATGTATAGACTTTGGGTGTATTTCTGGATTTGGGGATGGGATGGGTTGGGTTGGGTTGGGATGGGTTGGATAGGGTGTGTAAGAGAGAGGAGAAAGGGGATAGGATTAGTATAGGTAGGATATTGTGTTGTAAAGTGTAGGTACAATGTAGGTAGGTACTCTGAAGGCACTCTGGAGGTAGAGATGATTAGGGTTTGGATTAGGGGTTTGGAGTTTGGAGTTGATGGGAAAGGGAAAAGGGGGGATGGGATAGGATAAATAATTGGTGGATTGAGTTTGATACATACTAGATTTATAGGATGACTAATGACTACGGTACTAGGTTGATGAACCAGATAACTACTCGAGTACTCAAGTACTAGTAAAGTTATACTCACGAGTTCCTCTACGATATTATATTATCATAAATGAAATGAAAGGATAAAATATCTACAGAGATCTTTATCTAGAAGTTAATGCTCACTCGTAGGGTAGGGTGATTGATACCTACCTTCCTTACCATAGCAACAGGATTCCCAGCATTCCCAGCATTCAAATAAGCCTTTTTCCCCTCAAAAGGCAGGTCCCACCCATTATTTTGTCAGGAGGGTTAATGATCTAGATGTGATGGATGGGTAAGCAACTACCTAGGTATTCCTCAGTAGTTTGTCTTGGATCTTGCGTTTGGGGAAGGTGATGTTGATGGATGGTAGTACGGGGGTTTGGATCTGGGATGGGGTTCACGGTTCACCGCCAATAGGAATATAAAGATGTGTGGTGGTGGGATGGATGCTGAAACATATGGAGTACTCAGAGTAAAAGCTTAGAAGTTCTAGCCCTAGATGAGAAAACAATTGACTTCTATGTACGAGTATTTCAGGAACAATGAAGCAAAATTATTATCTTCTTGGAAATTATATAAATGGAGTTGGATATATTATATTGCTTGGTATTGGAGAGAAGAAAGAAGCTGAGGGAGGTGGTAGGTATCCCAACTTACTTATTATCTTCGAGTATGAGAAAATGAATTTTCCAGCTATACTTCTATACACTATCTCCCTGATCAGCTGAACATAATTCGAATCCATAATAAAGGTTCTCTATTGGCTGCACAGTACCTCGAATCAAAATAAAGGTTCCCTATTGGCTGCAGTACCTCGAATTAAAATAAAGGTTTTCTACACTTTCAATCATAAATTTATAAATGGAGATATCCATCTCTACTAATCTACTAATATATCTAACCAGTAAAATTTGAAAGTTAAAAATCATTACAACAGATTTAAATCGGGTTATACTTTCCCCTCCACATTATTATACTTTTATTGCCATATGTTGCTGACTTTGTCCTTGGTTCATGATAGGGTTGATAAGTTAATTAAGGTTGATAGGTTAGGTTGTTTGTTATTTTGTTCTAAATTCATTCTCTGCTTATTCTTTGCATCGAAGGATCGAAGCCATCGAAGCTTTAGAAACCCCCCATCTTTGTTGGCTTCTATTACATTATCCATACATCCAATCCATGCTATACCTTAGGTATCATAGTATTAAACCAATGATACCATACATAACCAAAATACCCGATACCGGTACCTTAAACGGCATCTAAACAATTAACCAGTACCTTTTTACTTTCATCCAATCAATTCAATTAAACTAATCAGTTTATCCACTTTATCTTTTGAACCCTTTCCTTAATGGTTAATTCCTTTTTCCATTCCCCACTTTTTACTTTCTTCCATTCCTTCCATCAATCTTTCTAGATGTTAACCTTATTAGACCAATCATGATTACTCACTCGTACTTCTCTTTCAACTTCTCGATTTCTACTTCCTAAACCTTCTCTCTCTCTTTCCCACCCTTCCACCCTTCCTTCTATTTTTTAAATTCAAATTTCTTTCTCATTGAAGAAAGGATAAGGACATCAGTTTCACCAGTATTATATATCGAGTCTTATACAGCTGAATGTATCATCAAAACAAAACCCAAACTACCGGTACAACAACAGCAGATTACAGTACAGCACACAGCACACAGCACACAGCGACAACAAGAACCACTCGAACTTGAACTCGAACTTGAACTCGAACTCGAACTCGAACTCGAACTCGAACTCGAACTCGAACTCGAACTTGAACTCAACTCGAGTTCAAACCAAGGAACTTTCCCTGAAAAAAAGAAAAGAAAAGGCACTAAAATTCACTTCTTATTACAACCTTCAGAACATCACTTAGGAATTTCGACTTTCCTTTATTAATAAATAATACCTACCCTATTTATCTAAGTGTTATTTCCCATCCTATATTCTATATCTTCACTTCATCCATCACGACACACACGAGTACATTCGAAATTAAAATAATGACCTTCTTTTGATTTTCTTCTTCCCTTTTTCCTCTACCTGTTGTAACGAGTACTCGACTCGACTCAACTCAACTCAACTTTTGAGGAATTTGGTGAGAAGGAGGGATGAGAAACTAACTTCCCATGTTCTCAACCAAAGATCCATTTTGTACAATACAATACTACAATACCATATCCACATACCTACCGTACCGTACCGTACCATACCATACCGCAAATACATGTGCTGCTGTCTTTTAAAAGACCAAATTCCAACGAAAAGCCCCTCTTTTCACTTCTATCCACTCTTCGATAGACATTCCACATTCAATCACCATCTGAACTCCCTTTTTAGTCGAATTTCCACTTCCCATTACAATACAGAGTCCAGAACTTACCTCGAATTTCATTTCTACCCACGGCTACAGGGCTTCCCTGTCATTGCGAAACACTTCCCAATCCACGGTTCTTTTTTTTATAAGACTCGGTTGCATTTTCTTTCAGAGCAATTTCGATATTCCCTCGGCCCCTTCGATTGAAACGTCGCGAACAATATCGTCATCGCCTTTCGATCCAGGAACCCGATACCGATACCGAAACAAAGACATTGAAGAAGGGAAAGGCTTGATTGATAATTGACGGAATCGGTCGATCAATTAAAGGTGCTGTGCTCGAGCCAGCTTGCTCCCGTGCGACGCGGTGATTGGGCTATCGAGCTCAATCTCATAATTGATATTTTTTACGAATTACTCCTATATCACCAATTCATATTGGTCAAAGCCCGCGGATATTGGTGGTGAGCGGGTATATAGATTTGGTGTTGTGGTTTGCGAAAGATAGTGGCAGTGATGGACTACGCCTCGTGTAATATTGTCTACGTGGATCGCACAGCTCTCGAGGACAAATTGGTGCGAAGAGAGGATGTGGTGTCAAACGTCTCGACCGTGGAAAACTCGACTCCTGCCACCGATGGCGCGATAACACCTCGAGCGATCAGTCTCGTCGACAACAATGTGAACATTTTACTTGGGACATTCACTGAAGGTAGGTCCAATTGGAAAGGTGGCTCAATTGATCCTGAATTGGACTGCAATCGATGATGAAAATTGACATGACATAGTCCACGTTTGTGCCTCGGGAAAGTCCTGCATATCGAAAGTCTCCGAACTCAACCGCGCATCGATCGTGGATTTAATACCTACCCTCGTTCTGATCGATATCCCGTATGATGATCAACTAAATGAGCGACCCGCGAGAGAAGTTCGGACACCTTCGCCCAGTTCCAAACAACAGGTGGATGGTCTACACGACGATGATCCCGGGGAGGCATATGGAATAAAATTATTACAATGGATCGCATCCGAAATTCAACAGCACAGTTTATCCAAACTGATTGTACCAGTGGCCGTGGTTTCCGCGTCGGAGCAGAGTCTTGCAGTCAATTCGTCAAAAGTTCGCATGAGTTCGAGATCGGAACCCGCTCCTCTGAACGGATATGAAATGGGCCGACAACCCCGGAAATTGAGCGGCATATACATCCCATTAGATCAGAGAAGGACAATGAGGTTTTTAGATATCGGCGCAGTGGATGTCTTAACTAGTCCTCTTCTGCTGGAACGATTGCCCAGCTTGGCAGTGCATGCATATCGAGCGCATAAAGATGCGTCCAAGGATCATAGGGCATTGATGGAAATGAGGCGGGGAAGAAAGCGATCATGGGTTGGTGTGGAGGATCAAAAACCTTATGCGTATCTAAGAGAAGCTATGGTTTCCGGATTGATGGATGGAATTTGCAGGTTAAACAGCGAAGAATTAGAAGAGTATGGCAATTTGAGAGTGACGGTGGCATTAGATCGGAGGGAAATGATAGTTCATGCCATTAGTTCGTGGCAGTTCTCGGCGCATGATTTTACCGACGATGAACTTCTTTATGCATCGTCATTAATGTTACAACATGCACTCTCCATGCCGGAACTGGAGAAGTGGCGGATATCCACAGGTAAGTTTCAGAACGAAAATGGTTCGGGTAATAAACGGCCTCGGCCATGCTGACACCCGTTGCAGAAAACCTTACCGGATTTCTTCTCGCAAGCCGATCCGCATACAATGCTTTTGTACCATATCATAATTTTCGTCACGTCGTTGATGTCCTTCAAGCCACATTTCACTTTCTCGTACGGATGGGAAATCTTCCAGAGTATCCTTCCACGACAGTTGGGATGACGAGACAAAGGCTATCGCCAATTGCCGAACTCATCAGACCATTTGATGCTCTTACCTTGATGATTACTGCTATTGGTCATGATGTTGGTCATCCTGGTGTCAACAATGCATTTCTGGTCCATCTAAATGCACCACTCGCTCAACTTTATAATGACCGATCCGTCCTCGAATCATTTCATTGTGCTGCTTTTTCTCAGATATTGCGTCGTCATTGGCTAGCGGCTTTCGAGGAGCGTGGCATGCGACAATTAATGATAAGCACAATCTTGGCAACAGATATGGGTCTGCATTTTGATTACATGAAGAAGCTTGGCTATCTTCAAGAAAAGTTACATGAGAATGGTGGTGTCACAGATGGTTGGAATGGTCGAGCGATCGAGGATCAACGAACACTCGCCTGCTCTTTACTTATCAAATGTGCGGACATAAGCAATGTGGTATGTTACATGAACTCTTTGAAAAGGGGTCAAAACGCTGACATCAGTACAGGCACGAAGATTTGACACCGCAACTCAATGGACGGAAATCTTGACTGATGAATTCGCTCGTCAAGCTTCCATGGAACAGGATTTAGGTATTCCAACAGCTTTGTACGCACCTCCTGTTCGAGAAATCATTGAACTTGGCAAATCGCAACTAGGTTTCATGAATATGTTTGCGATACCATTGTTTGGTGGTGTGACAGATGTCATGCCTGGTATGGGGTTCTGTGTCGAGGAATTGGAAAGAAATAAAGCTGCCTGGGAAACTAGGATAGCTTTAGAACAGGAGAAGATGAGGCAAGATGATGGGTTCTTGGGTCTTCCTGATGGCATGCAATCCGGCATGCGCTCTCCCCGTGCAATGAGTATTGCACACCCTGTTCAAGATGTACCTACTAGCCAGGATGCCACTTCGAAATCTAGTGAAGCCTCGAATCTCCGTGTCCAAGCAATGCTTAACCAACGCCCATTTGGAACAAGACAAGGTTCCAATGACGAATCGCCCAAAGGTACGAAACAAGGGTCACCAGAACTTTCTCCGTTGACAAGTTTGTCGGATCGAAGGTTTTCAAAGCCCAGTCAACTTCAACTCACTCATGCACCAGGACTTCTCGATTCCCGGGGTCAGGGCGTAGAAACTTTGGCAAATGGAGATCGACAAATCAATGGGGTACATGTTCAGCCATCTCTTTCCACAGACGTCGTGATGGTAAGTCCCCCGACACCCAAAGAACCCACAGCACCACACAACCAAAGAAGTAGCGAAACCACAACAGACGGTAGCAATTCTGGCTCTGCTGGAGAATGGTCTACAGGTGCAGCAACAACAAATAACAAAAGCCCATTTTCACCCAGCACTCAAGCGACTAGCTTCGCAAGCGAAGATTCGAATAATGGTAGGGCTGTCACTCCAACTTGTGCATCTCCGCTTGTCAATAGTACGAGCCATTCTTCGGCGGGCTATGATAGATCAAGTCATTCTACGAATGACGGATCGAGTGTGCCTGATACGGGATCGGATCTTAAAGTGTTAGCGGAGACGGGGAGAAATTTGAAAAAGAAGCCCAGCCGATTCAGGATGAATGGATTGCATTTCTGGAAGAGGAAAAATGGCAATCCACCAATGCCGGCTGGGACGCCGGATAAGCGAGATTCTGATGGGACTGAAGGATGACATGTATCAAAATGGAGAAGTAACACGAGAATGATACAACTCGACGAATTCACTGACGATAATGTTTTGAGATGAGATTAAGATTTCGGTACGGCAATCGGGATGTTTTGTTAAGTTTCTTGTGTGTATGATTATTATTTTCTGTACATTGTACACGATGCGGCCATTTGTTTTTGGGGTATCTCATTTGCCGAACTGAAAAGGGAAACGAGAATTTTATACCTCTGTGTTTATGGGTTACTCAAAACAAAGACGGATTGGCGTTATATTCTTCGGCATGGGTATAGGAGATGGATGGTTTGAATGGTTCAAATTTGGGAGGTGTGGATGGCGTTATTTATTTATGAAAGGATTGGTGCTGGATGCATGCATGGTGATTTATATTGGGGAAATTAGGAACTTGAGGGAGTGGTTGTTTTAGGGAGGAAGGAGGAATCATTTTATATCCAAGTAAGCAGGCTAGGCTTTCAGGGCTCTCAGGCCGGAAGGGGAAAGGAAGGAAGGAAGGGAAAGGAATGAATATGGGGATTTAAAGTATAGTATGGTTTGGTTGTTAGATATGGTATGGTGGTCTAGGGCTTGGCTTGGCTTGACTGGGTTTGGTTTGGTTTGGGGTATTTACTATCTGAAAGTGGTGGATGGCTGAAGCCCAGGGACTTTATATAAGTCTATAGCTCAGTCGCATTGCTTGTGCTATGCTATCACAGCGAGTATAGTATATTATTGATTGAGGGGAAGATGGTTAGCGGAAGAGAAGTAAGATGGAGGAAGATGGAGGAAGAAGAATGGAAAGGAAAGCAAAGCAAAGCAATTGATTAATTTTCAATACATATAAATCAAACTCATTTTGAATGTTTTGCTGAGATGTATGGGATGTATGAGATGCTTGAGATGCTTGAGATGTGTAGGATGAGATGTATGGGAGGTATGAGATGAGATGTATGGGATGTAATGTATGGGATGAGAAATTAATGCGAGGGAGTAAATTGTAAATAAATAAATGTAAAAGTGACAAACAGATACAGTAGATAGATAAATATATAAATCAAGATCCGATTGTGTGTAAGGATCCAGATGTGTCTAATCCGGAGCGATATATATATGTCGATTGCCGGTGAGCAAGGAGGCGCTGGGGAATCGTGTCTGGGCTTAGTTTGGTTTCGGGAGATGGATGGGGGGATTTTTTTTTGTAGGGTGGCATTTGGTGGTGGGGAGTGGGGAGTGTGAGGAGTGTGGGGAGTGTGTGGATTGTGTGGATTGATGGGTGATGGTGATGGTGATGGAGAGAGATGGGAATGGGAATGGGAATGATGGGGATGAGGATGGAGAAGGGGGAATGGGAATGGGAATGGGAATGATGGGGATGAGGATGGAGAAGGGGGAATGGGAATGGGAATGGGAATGATGGGGATGAGGATGGAGATGGGAATGATGGGGGTGAGGATGGAGATGGATGGGAATGGGAACGGTGGTGGAATTGGAAATGGAGATGGAGATGGAGATGGAGATGGAGTTGGTGATGGTGGGGATGGTGATGGGAAAGGGAATGGTGGGGATGAGGATGAGGATGTGGTGCCGGAAAGTAAGGTTTACGACGGGGCTGTCGAGGTATGTATTGTATGGGTTTCTTGTGCACTTGTTTATTTGTGAATTTGTGAGATTAGTTGTTGATTGTTTTACTGTAGTCATCCGAGATACTTTGACTGTATTTTTAAATCAAGGTCAAGGAGGGCGGAATCGTTGCTTGAGTTGAGTCTTCATTGACTGGACTGTGAAAGGGTAATGTGAAAATTTTGAGATTCATTACTCCCAATTCTCTTTATTTTCCATGGCCTCATATGAGTATTTCGATATCTCTCTTACGCTTACGATACTGTTTCCTTCACACTATCGATCCCACCACCTCTTCTCTCTTCTCTCTTCTTTCTTGTTCGCTGGAGAAAAAGTTCGTTTTTATATATTCTATATTACTCGATTATAATATTTCGAGTTGCATATCAGAAAGTCCTTGCTGTCGGGTTAGGGTTAGTCTATACTAGGCTACTAGCTGTGATGTGAATAATAAATAGATGTGGAATAGGTTACGGGTTTATACGAGTATATAAAGGGTTAGCACTTAGGACTCGGAGGGAGGAGAATTGTTGTTTGGTTTTGGTTTTGGTTTTGGGAGGGGAGAAATGTATATGGATATGGATATGGATATGGATGGGGTATTGTATTGGGGATATTGGGGATATCGATATTATTATAATAAACTGAAAAGGTAGGTAGGTATGTGTATGCGTTGGGTAGACCTTCAGGATAAGATATATATACACAATGTAGTCAGTAGTCAATACTTTGAAGCAGTCGGAAACCTGGCAGTTCATGTGAATATCATAAGCTAAATCTCCTGGCAATCAGAATCATGAAACCAAAACTGCCAGTTTCTAGTTAAAACTTAAAAATTAAATCAAATTGGTAATTTGAATATCATTAACTAATCCAATTGGCACCGTGGTTTGGATTCATCAAACTACTGAGTAAATTGCTAGTTTGATCAGTGCGCTTTTAATTGGTTAATTGGTTAACTGGTCAACTGGTCAACTGTTGACGATTGACTACACTGGATACCGGTATACAGTATTTATTCTGAAGAGTGACTATCAGGACTAACAAAATATCAGAAATGGTTGTTTGTTTGTTTGTTTGTTTGTTTGATCATTTGGTTAGTTGCATATTGTACTCGTATTGTCTAGAGAATAGAGTAGAGTATAAAGTTGTTGGAATATTGATAAGTCAACATGAATTTATATAAGACCATCTACTCGAGTACATCTTAATGGAATATACTACTACTCCAATATTAAACCTTGATTCTGCTAGTGATAAGATATTCACTGTGCCTATACTACAATAACCTCAACAAAAGTAGCTGACTGATACTCGAGTATTATTGTAGGTGAGGGGAAGTATAGTATGTGGTGTGGTACATATGGTACCCGCCCGTCCGGCTGTTCAGGTTCGTTCCGGAGGTGATCGTCCGGAAAAGGTTGGCCTTTTCCGAAGCTTGGTTGTATGAAAAGCGTGCCTTTTCCGGGCTCTTGTCGAGATAAATATTCTTTGTCTAGTACAAGTGGCTTGTTTTATGCTACAAGGGCTTGATTTGAGTATTGATCATAAAATTCTTATTGGTAGAGGATGGAAGTTTGGTGGAAGTTTGGACAGCTTGGCAGTATCTTCTTGGAATATACCAGGTATGTAAGCAGCACGTGATATCCATGTGACAGGCGTGACTTCGAGCTTCCACGGTATGTTTCACACCTTCTTCATTTGGATTCATTGGAATCCGGCTAATTTCCAAAGGGTATTCTGGCAACATGACGAAAACCCATTGGTAAAGATCACTCCGCTCGTGGACTTCGTCCGCACCATTCTCAATCTTATATCAATGTCGTCAAGTGATGTCGCCAAGTGTCGTCTGTTTTGTATTAAATTTCCAAGCCGAATAGCTGTATCCCAAAGATCAATCACTGTAACACAGCATTCATCTCATCTTTCTATTCAGATTTCCAAACTTTGGAACACACAGTGTTTGATCTGAATCTTGCCTCGGCTGAGACCATTGCAGCATGTTGTCTGCCAAGCTGGATCCTGCCAAGATGATTAAAAGATGGCGTGCATGAATGTAACGGGAGAACCATTTGAAGAACGATTGGAGCTGATCTTTTTGGGGCAGGAGATAAGCCTTTTCCAAGAAGCCATTAACCATACCGGTATCCCCAATTTCATCAATAATAACTGGAAGTCATTGCCAAGGTGATTTCGTCATCACGAGATTATTTTGAACATTGAAATTCGACAAGTTTAATAAAGGTTGATTCTCAAAAAGGGAGGTTGTTATCGATTCTGATGAGATGAAGCCATCTTCGAAGATATTGTATCATCATATGCCCATATCACTTGGCGCTTGTGCATCTCTTGATATCTGCAAGAGGCATCAAGCTTCTGATTGTTCAGACGAGCGCTTGGCTACACGCTTGGCAATGCTACATCAACCCTAAGCTTTGTGTCAATCCCCAACCGCATATTTGCAGATCGATAAGAAAAGCTTCACAGCTTCCCAATTCGGCATATCTATCCACAGGGGAATATGACTTATACTACCATGATGGCGTTTAGCCTGAGATTCATATCGATTTCAGGTCGTTTACTTCGGTTCGTGGTATCATCATAGTTGGTGGTGTTCTCGATGGTGTTATTCTAGTGCTAGTTTGCTTCATTCTTCATGCACCCTATACGGTTATCGTTGTCGAATAGTATCTCGATAAACTCTACATCCCCTGACCAGTACCGATGGCCAAGTCAGGCCCTGGAGAGTTATTTCATGTCAAATGCTTAACAGCTTCCATAAATGTAATAGACCAGTGCCTGAGATTGGGGATAAAGTTCATTTCTGGAAGGTGACGATGAAGTATGCGGTTCATGTTGGTGATATTGACCTGCAAGATATCTTGGCCTTGTAGTTTAATGCAATCTTATCTTGCCCTGAGCTCGGGAAGGTCGCCGACAATAACCTTTATCAATTGCATATGCAGAAGAGCCTCAAGAAATTCGAGTTAAATACTGCATTTGTGCCCCCCGAAAGAGTCTCTCGTCAGACAAAATCTTCAATATCAACTCTCCACCAAGAATAACAAGTTTAAAACTTCATCATGGCCTCCTATCTTACAGTTCTTACCGCTTTGGCGGCTGTCTTTGCTCCTGTATTCGCCGCGCCAGCAGCATTACCTCATCCAAAGATCAAGACTCCAACGACCGACGCCAAACAAATCATAGCTGATAGCTATATCGTCGTCTACAACACGGATATTACAGCAGAGGTGACTGCTAGCCATGTTGATTTTGTCAACGCCATCGTCGCAAAACGTGACAACGCTGTATCAGTTGGTGCAACATACAAGATCCAAGACTTCTCCGGATACCAGATTTCCGCAGATTCAGCCTCCATTGTCGAGATCGCTAATCAGCCAGAAGTATGTATCATCCCTGAAAAACACTTCCAACGTTACTGACAATTGTCTTAGGTTGCATACATTGAGAAGGACCAAAAGGTCTACGCCTCATCATTGACAACCCAAAGTGGATCTACTTGGGGTCTTGGCCGTCTATCTCACCATGCAAAAAGTACGACCAGTTATGTCTACGACAGCACCGCTGGAAGTGGCGTGACTGTATATGTGGTTGATACTGGTGTCTATGCTGCACACTCCCAATTCGGCGGTCGTGCCAGTATGGGAGCGAACTTTGTCTCCGGGTCTGCAGTATGTACCAACCAAATCAAAAGAAGCACTGAACATACTAACACAAAGACAGAACACTGACGAGAATGGTCATGGAACTCACTGCGCTGGTACAATTGGCGGTAGCACCTATGGTGTAGCCAAGGCAGCAAAGATTGTCGGTGTCAAGGTTCTTGATGCCTCGGGATCTGGAACTAACGCCGGTGTTATCTCTGGTATTCAATGGGTTGCTACTAACGGCGGTTCTAAATCCGTTCTCAGTATGTCTCTTGGTGGAGGTCTATCAGCTGCTTTAAACAGTGCCGTGACAAGCACAGTCGCTTCAGGTGTAACAGTCGTTGTAGCAGCTGGAAATGACAATGTAAGCCTCAATGCCTCACCTACTCTAATTCTCCTCACATTTGATACAGTATACTAACCCTCCACCCAGACAAACGCAGCCAACACCTCTCCAGCCTCAACCCCCAACGCCATCACAGTCGGCGCCATTGATTCCACCGATGCCCGCGCCAGTTTCTCCAACTATGGCGCCGTCCTCGATATCTTTGCTCCAGGAGTCAACGTTCTGAGCTCGTGGATTGGCTCAACTTCAGCTACCAATACCATCAGTGGTACTTCGATGGCTACTCCTCACGTAGCGGGTCTCTCGGCTTACTTGATTGCGTTTGAGGGCTTATCTACGCCTGCTGCTGTCGTCGCTAGACTTAAGGCGTTGGCTAATAGTGGGTTGATTACGAGCCCTGGATCCGGAAGCCCAAATCTTATTGCTTATAATGGTAATGGTGCTTAGATTGGATATGGTGTGGGAGGGTGAGAGGGGAGGGAAAGAGAAAGAGGGTATCAGGGGTTCATGTTATGTTATGTTGTGGGGAATAGGTGGGCGCATAACATCGACTTGGTAATCATGTATCTCTCTCGTTTCTTTCTCAAAGCAAGGAAGGAACTATGAAGCTGTTTGTGAGATGAGACAAATAGGTGGATTTTGTTCAGAAGCGAAGCGGATCGCGCTCATCTCATCTTATTAGTATGTTGATTATTATGTAGTGTAATCTTGATCGAAACTCGTAATGCATATGCTTATGCTTATGTATTTGTATGGGAAATTGTCTTTATATCGTGTGAAGTGATGTATCTTAGTATCTATCTATTTCAAAACTTTCTAATTTGCCAGTGGGGATTCGTCTTCTGTTTATGAGTAAGTCAGGACTCAGTTGATAGTCATGGTATTTTTAGTGTTTCGAGAAACTTATGTGAAGGAGAAAGGAGATGCAGATGTTTATATAGAAATATAGAAATACGAGTATATAAATTATTTATAGATATATAGAAATATGTAGAGATTTATATAAGTATAGTATGAGTAGTACGAGTTAATATATATGAGTATAAGAGTATAAGTAAGTAAAGTACTAGATAAATAGATGGAAGATTACTACTATACTGTACATTCTGTACTCGAGTATATGGTTATATGGTTATATGGTATAAAAGTCTACTTACCGTACGAGTAGTGAGTGAGTGAGTGAGAGTGAATTATTTTGGTTGGTTTGTTTGTTAGTTTGTTATGGTGTGAGGTGTAAGGTAAGGTAAGGTCTGAGGTCTTTTGTTTTGGGTGGGGAGGTTGGGGTATTGGGATACTTGGGGGAGGGCGGAGGGTGGGTTAGGGTTGTGATGTTTAGGGATATTAGGGTATTGGAGTGAGGGGGTATTAGGGTATGGGAATTTGGGAGGTTGGGATATTGTATGGGAATGTTGGCGTATTGGGGTATGGGGGTATAGTGTATGGGGATATTAGGAGTATGTATGTGGAGTTGAAATTAAATAGAGTTAAAAAGAGTTGGTTGTGGAGTTGGGTATGGAGATGGATGCCTTTTTTTTAAATTGGGATAAATTTCATGATCACTAAGTTAAGAAGTTTATTTAACTTGATTTGTTATGATATTGTGAGTAAGTGAGTGAGTAAGTAAGTGCTTTGAGTTTGAGTTCGATATCAGGTAGGTAGATAGGTATCTTGAACCTTGGAATGGAATTTTGAAGTATTTTGGGGGCTTGTAGTGTATGAGTGTGGGTGTGGGTGTGGGTATTTGATATTGGATATTAGATATTAGTAGGGAAGGGAGCAGAGGGGAAGAGGGGAAGAGAGGAGGAAGGAGGGGTAAATATTGCAAACCCATTATATATAGTAAGTCTCACTACGAGTAATAGTTTAGATTTATTTGTTTAATTTAGCATGACTTAGTTTCAAGGTTGACAAACTTGGCAAGACCATGATGGAATTGGAGGCGATGGGGAATTTGCGAGTGCAAGGAATGAAGGAAAGAGAAGGAGAGGAAGATAAGAAGAAACTTGAAGACTTTAGTATAATTATTGGATTTTTTACAATCATAAACCTCGTTTTTGTACTACAAACATCCTTTTATCTCTCGAAGAAAGCTTGCTTTATAAATATAAAAGGATACTAAAAATAAATGGCAAAAACCACTTGGTAATTTGTTTTACTATCTGTTTATAGTGTGGTCGATGAGTGGGTGCCCATAGAAATTCGAACTTCTCTTCACTAATCCATTTTGATTAGAAAATGAATTAAACCCGATCCCAAACCTTTCAAGATCCTCAAAATCATAACTAGAACTTGTAAGTACCTGTTGATAGCTGCTCGTTTTGTAATTAAAAAATATAAAGTTCAAACTTGAAATTGAGGATTGAAACTGTGCAACCGCAACTTCAAATCTCAATGGATGGATCTTAATTTGATATATATATAATAAAATATCAAGCCTATAGAAATCTATGTCCAAAACCTATACCCACCATTACTATAATCAATAAGTTTAATAAGCCAGATAGAGAGTTAGAAACCCTACCCAACCCTACTACACCATAGGTATTCACGAGTACCCGCCTCACCATCACCACCGTACTCATACCGTCAAAAATTCCGCAATTCGGATAGCTAATTGTTGTAGTAGTAGTAGTAGTAGTAGTAGTAGTAGTAGCAAAATGATAATCGATTTGATCTACCTAAAGCTAATGCTACTGGATAGCTAGGAAATACTACCACGCGATCGGAAAATCCTTGTTTTTTTATGTTCCGGGGTTGCGAACTAAGTAGTGATATTTTTCGAATGTCATAGGTGTCCTCTTGGAACGGAGTCTTGGACAGAGAATAGGGCCAAAAATCTGGTATAGTAACCGTACTCCACCGTAATCTTGCCACGGAGCTGTTTATTCATTGCTTCTGGACAAGTGTCTTGTATATTGTGACGTGCCGGTATTGTATCATTTGATTGAAAGTAGTTCTGACCTCAATCATACATATGGTATGGATTTGCATTCAAGAAATCCAATGCAAATAAACACGCAGGCGAAATGTCAACACAAGGAAAAAAAATTGAGATGCCAAGAGACTAGCTTAGCGATCGAGAGTTTAGGGGGGCGAATGGCATGGGTTGGGATGCATGGATGGGCGATCGGGATATCTTAAATGGCATTATGAGGTCTGGGGGGCGGTAGCGTTGTCAGGGATCAATATGGAAGGTGCGAATTTAGTGGATTCTCTATAGTCTCATCTCACATCATAATAACAAAAGCACCCTTCTTCACACCTACAACCTGAATCCTTTCAGCGTGGTGGTGGGGAACGAGAGGGGAACGAGGGGAATGATAGTGGTGCGATATCGGGTGTGTGGAGTAAAATTGCCATATGGATGTACCATAAACTTTTGAAGAATTCGGATATGCTAAACAAGGATTCTTTCTTTTGGTACAGGAAAAACTGGATCACATTCTATACATTTCGATGTAAAATAGTATAGTTGTCGATCAGATAAGGATTCTTGCTAATAGGAATAAAGAAGTTAAGTATATTAGAATAATCTTGAGTTTTAATCACTGCTTAGCTTATTCGAAATTTTCAAAAGTTTGCGATACGTTGTTAGGGATCAATATGGCAAGAACATCAAAGAGCTCCTTCCTCAAGGTGAAACTTCCGAAACCTTTCTTCTTCCAATGTCACTTCAACATTCTTCTCAACTCCATACATTGATTGTATATTATAGCATATGATATCATGATTTGAGAACTGGCAACTGCAGTCTGTTTCGTTGAGTACAGCTGCATCGTTTGACAAAAGGGGAAACAGGTGCGACTCTAGCTTAGCCGATGACTATGTTTTCTCACCTCACATCATAATAATAAGAGCACTCTTCTTCATACCTGCAACCTAAATCTTTTCAACGTATTTAGTGAGGAACTCGAAGATGCATGAACTACAAACAAACAGACTTCAATACTTCTGCTTAGCATTCACTCTCTTCCTTTTCCCTTCCTTTTTTCTTTTTCCTTTCTCCCTCCTTCCTTTTTCTTCTCTCCCATAATTCCACTTCTCTAGTTGAGCAGATCAGGTTTCCAGTCCTGCTTCCTCTTCCCTTCCCTTCTCTTCTCTTCTATCCCACAATTCCATTTCTCATAGTTGAGAACATGGTTAAGCAAACCAGGTTTCCAACCCTGCTTCCTGCTTCCTGCCTATCCTCGTTATAAACTCGCAATTGCTTCCAACCATAGAGCTACAATAGGGATAGCCCCTGCAATCATAAATGAGGGAAAGTTTGCCTCGGGGGAGGAGAAGTATTGATTTTCTTTCCAAGGTTGAACTTTGAAGCAGATTCGGTTTACCGTATACTTTTGGTAAATTCGGTGACGCTATACAAGGATGAAGATATAAGGTTAACTTGATAGATCTTAATTTTGAGTTTCTATTGACAGGAACTCTCTAGCTGATCTATAACTATTAACTATACTATTGCAGGCTAGTGTACGGGGTTCATCCAGTTTTCCCTATACCAAGACTAAGCAGCCTTATATAGCATCACCGAATTTACCAAAAGTATACGGTAGATCAGTACCCGCAGTGGAATACCAACCAGCAGTGGAGTATCATATCATATTACGGTACTGTATGCGCTACAATGATACTGATACTGACGATCGATAAATTTGAGCTGCTCAGCTGTATGACGAGTAGATGACAATAGGAGATATGGACCGCTCAGCCGTATGACGAATAGAGGTTAGATGTCGATGGTCACTCTTCAACCGTACTATGACGCTGAACTCGGTGGATTTCTTCATTCCCATTATCTATAAAACCCCTATTTATCTCTCAATGTATCAGAGGATTCTTCGAATCGGAACATCAAATTTCATCTTCGAACAGATGTTTCCAACTTTCGAGCTCGACTTTTGAGGATTGGGCTACACATATTGTGTGATATACCGAAATCTTTATCGAATCTTCTTGGGATATTAGATATACTTGCTCTCTCTCTATCTTTCTCTCTCTCTCTCTCTCTCTCTCATCGAATCGAGATCATACATCATAGTCAAAGACCAACGTTCTTTACTACCTTTCCAACTATCGAGCTTAACTTTCGAGGATTGGGCTTACAATTTGTTAAAAGTATCCAATCATCTTGGGATATTAGATAAACTTACTCTCTCTCATCGAATCGAATCGAATAGCGCATCATAACCATAATCTCAGACCAACGTCCCCCCTCCCCAAAAGAATTCAAGATGGGTAAATTCCGAGGAAAATTCCGAGACCTATTCCGGAACCTATTCCGGAGCAAAAAGTCCAAAGCCCCTAGCTCGACAACGACGAAGGATGATAGTCGATTTTCTGAATGGCCTTTCAAGTTTGATGCTACAGATATTGATTATGACGGCATCAATGCCGGTCACGAATCGAACGAACGGCACGATTCGGCACAAGAGGAACGTGAACAATTTCCGGCATTTTCGCAGAGCTGTGTCGATGATATGGAGAGAGATGAGAGGGATGATGGGGCCAATATTGCATTTTCGACGGAGGATAGCAGTAGTGGGTATGATGGGTATAGTGACCGTCAGAAGTGTGACAAGGGAAAGGATAAAAGTAAGGGAAAAGGAAAGGCAAAAGATAAGGGAAAGGGAAAGGTAAATGGAGAGGCGGAAGAGAGGAAAAGAATGGAGGGGATCGATATGGCTAGGGCAAAGGATGAAGAGGGGAAGGCTTGGTATAGGAAACCGCAGTTTGGGGTCTTTGGGGGTGAAAAGAATAAAGTGGCCGAACAGGAGGACGAATACGAAGGATTCCCATTATATGATCCCACCGCTTCAGGAAATGCTCCAGTCAACATGGTGAGTAAGTTTAGGGAGAATATAGGGTCCTTCAACAATGATATGAGGGGTGAAATGGAAAAGAGTCGTAGAGAGGAGAGGAGAGAGGAGTCCAGACATATGGAGAGGAGAAAAGCCGATTCTGATAGTGCTGTGGTGGGTGGAAGTACAGGGTGGAAAGGTGCATATATGGCTGGCGCATCATCTAAAATCAAGCCAGAAATGAGTCGAGCAATCAACGACTCCGATGAGTTATTCCATACTCGCACTCTTTACTCTTCGGAAAGAAATGGAGAGATCACGAGATCTCACCCTGGGACGACTAAAGACATAAATGTAATCGAAGAAATGTACGTGGCGCCTCCTAAGGAACGTAAAAGTTCGACGACAGGATCGATACTTCAAAAGGCTGTTTCATTACCGGCGGTGTTAAAGAGGACATGGAGTCGGATGGTGGATGAGGAAGAATCCAAGAGAGATGAAAAGAGGAGGAATTTGATTAAGGAAGAGACAGTTTTGGAAAGGGAGAACTCATTGAACGCATTGGTCAAAGATATAGAGACTAGAGATTCCAGGAAGATCGTGCGACACGCCAACCGAGACGGTTCAAGATGCCTTGAGGACCAAGTCTATCAAGCCAAAACATCAGTCGTCAAAAAACACACCTGCTCCATCACCAAATCAACTTCCATCAAATCAACTTCCATCAAATCAACTTCCATCAAATCAACTTCCATCAGATCGACTTCCATCAAATCGACTTCCATCAAATCGACTTCCATCAAATCTGTTGAGTCAGTCACAGAAGTTCAAGAGCGCTTTCACGAACCCGAAACCTCTCACCATCTCTCGATTAACGAAGTGATATACTCAAGGAGCAATGCTGCTGTCAAAGCGCAAACTAGTCACGGGCGCTATACCCAAAAAGACACCAAAACACTGCATCGATCGCCGAAAATAGACGCCATGCACCCATATTTTAGGAAAGGTTTCGATAAATACGGCCAATTCAGGGATTGGGAGGACGGTGTGATTGAAGGATATAGGGATACAGTGAAAGATACTATGAATGACATGACTTCTGGGCCGAAAGAATGCGTGGCAACAGGTGTGGCCAAAATGACGAAGCTGAAGGAAGAGTTGAAGGAGCGAGAGGACGAACTGATTGATAGAAACAAGAAAAAGATCATGTCGCATCTCACTCCTGACAAAAGAGTAAGGTTCGAAGAACAAGTGATGAAAGAGGAAGAGGAGAGGGAGAAGAGAATGAAAGAGAGGGTGAAGGAGAAGGGGGAAGGGAGTATGAAAGAGAGAGTGAAAGAGAAGGGAAAAGAGAAGAAGGGGATGAAGAGGGCAAATGAAAACAGCCCGGAGATGATTAAAAATTTCAAACACAAACATGTGGGCTTGATTAAATGATAAATATATCATTTACATGCAGATTTGGATAGAAATATTGGAATATAGAGACCAAGATTGATTCTACTCGAGTACAAGGTTGGGAAATATTTGACCTGGTATCTACTATCTAGATATATATTATCAAGTATTAATAATTGAAAAATTAAAGATATATTTATTAATATTCTAAATAATATTAAGGGTAGTTTACATTCAATGAAAGAATGTATACAATCTACTTCTGTACATTATACGAGTACAGCCAGATGTATTATTGTAAGTGAGAAAGTATTATCTGATATATGTGAACCCATTGTTATAGACTCACCCGCCAGAAATTCCACTCCACTTGGAGCGTGGAAATAGACGTATGACTCTTTGGGCTTACGGAGGACAACTCATAGACTACTATGCGTGTACACCATCACTCAAGAGATTCCGAAAATTATATCTTTTCACAAATTTATTTGCTTCTTCCAGTCACCCACACACCCACAGAGAAAACAATACAACTTCCGTCAAGATAGGTCAAAAAAACAATAAAGTACCAAACCCATTTTACTTTGTCCTTGTGGGTTGACTTGCAACCCTACATTTGTGTAACCGTACATTGAGATATTGATATTGATATCATCATGATACATCGAATCGTTCAATCATTCAGTATCCATAAAGCCATACCTACCAAAGAGAGAGAATCATCTCACCATTCCATTCAACGCCAACATTTGCGCCTATATCCTCCTCAACTTCAGACATCCACTTCCATACCAAACAACCTTTATCCATCCATCTCCTTCCTCATCCCAAATCCCTTACAATTTATCACCCTGACTTCCCTTTCTCTCCCACTGTCCCCTTGCCACACCTCCAGTTCCCTGCCCTCCCATCACCATTGAAGCTAGCATCGAAGCTATGATCAACGCATCCAACGGGATCACACATACACTCATGATTCCCGCAGCTTTACTTTCCGAGCACAACGTACCCCAATGCGGTGCCGTTGATGTATTGATGTTTGACCATTGGCAACTCCACGATTGAACAGACCAGCTTGTCGAGGAAGTTAAGGCGTTGAGGGGCATTACTGTGCCGACAATTGCAGCGATAAGAGCGATGGCAAGGGGTAGGATAGTGATAAGCTTGGTGAGGAGGGACAGGGGGTTTCGTCTGAACTATCAAAGTCAAATTTCGTTAGCTTTAAAGATCATAACCTGAAGATCAGATAGGATAAAACATACAGCAGGAACAAGCTGCCCCACAAGCGCCACAGAATTCATCACAAAGATAAGAACCCCACAAACAACCCCCGCAATCGTAGGTTTGATATCGAAACTTTGAGGCCAGACCGGTAAATGAAATTCAGAGCCTAGATGTGTAGAATGATAGACGCTAAGCGTATCTGCTGCAGTAGCCATGATTATGAGACCGAAGACCGCACTGATAGCTGTGAGGGCTGTGTTGGCGTGCTGAAGCAGGGTTGAACGAGGGGGAGAGGGGGGGGCTTCGGGCGTAAATTCCTGGAAGGAGGAGGTGACAATAGTGAGGGGTTGTTTTGATTCAGGGGATGGAGATGGGCCTGCCATGTTTGCGGTTGTAAAGGATTGAAGAGTGGAGATGAATGAAGGTGTGGTAATATAGAGAGAGATTAAAGAATGAATGTAAGATGATGTTGGAAATAAGAATACCCCACAGAATAAGCACAAGAAGCTGAAGAACAAGAATGAAAAGAAGCTCAGAATTGACGATCCTGCGGGTACTCCAACAAGTAAATATACTTTCCAACCTTTCAAAACAAATAATAACTTCACCTACTGTTCACTAGTTCAATACACCTCCAGCCAACAGAATCGATGAGCAAAACGCTTGAGAACAAACACAGTAATTCAGATAAGATGGGGCGTGCCGCTTGTGCGTGTCCAGTATACAAATCTTCCAATCAAACAGAAAACCCCCGAACCTCCTCGCCCAATTATATATTCAAAATCATAGACTCTCTGGGAATTGTGAATGGTTGGTTCAGAATGCTTCTCGGTACATGATTTTTAAGGTTATTTTGAATACGCACAGGCACGGGCGCTTGCATGCAGGGGTAGGCGGCTATGGGGGCTTAGAATAGATTAATGTGAGCGTTGGGATAGGGTTTTGAGGAATTGATGATAACGACCTAGGGAATCGGGGCGAGCATCTATTGTTTCTTGTTATATACTCGTATGGGTGAGATTGTTGTGGTTAGTTGTGGTTGGTTATCGGTTGCTGGTTGCTAATCTGCGGAAGGTTGTTGATGTTAGGACAAGTTTTGCTATGCGTTCGTTTCTTAAGTCACGATTTTCTCGAACTTGGTATACCGAGAATGGAGACCGAAGGGCTAGTTGTCCATATATTTGGTGAAGGGTCAGAAATTTGACTGATATCGGAAGTCGAACTTCATACTCAACCATGTCGATGTTCTTCTTGTCTCACGTGCAGTAAGTGCTATACCGCGAGGTTTCGGGCTTTGTGCTCGCTCCAATATCATACGTCGTGACTGGAGTCTAGATGGATACGTAAGGAGTTTTTACGTAGATATCTGCATGTCGCCAAAGACCGGGATGATCTGGAATGAAATAGACGTTACATATGCACGTGATCTGTCACATTTGGTATTGCTTCAGTCGAAGGATTGAAGATATTTGCCTTCCTAGATGAGCGTCGCCAAATATAAACAAGTCGAAGTCCGATTTGTCTGGTTGAATTCGCAATAGGAAGGTGGATGTACCAGATTGCGGTGCTTCGGGTGTATGCTCGCTCGAGGCCTGCAATCCTCTTCGTTCTGGGTAGCTTTTAGGGCTTGTATCTGTGACATATGTTCCTCAAAGAGCGAAATCAAGTATATCGTTCGCAAACACTCTGTTCAAAGTCTTCAGATGACATGACGATGAGGATAATGTGAAAGATTCAAGAACGATGAGAACAGTGGCTTGTCAATAAACAACGGGAGATTGATAGTGAAGATCTCGGGTTCTCCCGTTACCCTCTTCTTTGCATTTATCAAGTCATAACATATTTCTGGCGCCATGTCTAGGATCTATCATTCGCATTATTGTCCGAGCCATCTTCTGTGTTCCCGGTGGCCAATCAGAAGACTACTATTGATAAAGTTTGAGCCTCACATTCATGCCTGATGCGAATCCGGGGATCCGAGTACGAGGATGCGAGAGGATCTGCAATGACAACCATGTAAATCTAAGTTCTCCTTGGCTAATCCAGCCATTATGAACATCGTTGTGCGATTATCTTGTGCATCATCATTGGTTATGCGAGTGCTGAACTCATGAAAGATAGCACCGGGGATGCGATGAACGTGTATTCACCGAGATACTAAGAGTAGCCCATACTCGAGTACATGAACTCGCATTGTCAATTCGAGTTTCACATTGGTTGTAAATTGTACTTCGTACGAGTATAACTACCATATCCATCTTAATGTTCTTTACTTCAATCGGAGGTGACAGGGTAAACCGAGTGCGAGGTCCGAAGAACCTTCTACTCCCGGCTCCACTCATGCATACCTACTGTTGACGGCGTTGAGAAATCATACATAATGTCCGACATTGATTTTGTAAATTGCCTGGACTAGGAAAGGAAGGGGTTCTCGACTTTCTTCATCTGGTGCTTGGCCCGCAATCATGCCAGTGATTACCACAGGCAGTGCAAAAAGCATTGTTTTGTCTGCCTTGTGCGAACATCGTTTTCTCGAACAGTCTCATGATAGGTTCATCCATTGTCGTTAGTAAAGAAGAGATTGTTGTTGTACAGGGAACTTTAAATGAATGTGAACTCATGCTAGAAGTTGATAATCATAAATACTCCCGACTGCTGTTGAGGAACAAAATATCCACAGCTCACTCTCTTTTCAATTACTTCCATTCCATTCCATTACATCTAACACAAATATTATCAACAAGTCAACATGAAGCTCAACATCTTTTCCACCACTTTAGCCATTGGCTTGGTCTCTGCCGGAGCTCACTATCACCAACAAGATGTCGTTGCCAACGGCACCGAAGGTGTATGGATAGCGCCTACAGATACCGACTGTATGCTCAGAACCTCCAACTTCCTCCGTTATAACATACTAACATACTAACATATAACAGACCGCGGTCCATGCCCCATGATGAACACCCTAGCAAACCATGGATTTCTTCCCCGCGATGGGAAAAATCTCACCGAATATAACGTTGTCAAGGGTCTCAACGATGGTCTCAACTTCAATAAATCTCTCGCAACCATCATGTTTCAGCAAGCTATACCTGCCAGCCCCGCCTACCCAAATGCTACATTCTTTACCCTGTAAGTTATATTATACCCCATTATCAATTTCTCTACCACCTCTCCCTCAAAGGCTAGAGACATTACATAATCCTCAGTCCCAATCACTAACCCATCCCCCATCACCCAGCAACGACCTCAACCGCCACAACGTCCTCGAACACGACGGAAGCATAAGTCGCTCCGACGCCTACTACGGCAACAACTACATCTTTAACCAAACCATCTTCGACACCACCAAAGCCTACTGGCCATCCGAAACCCTCACCGCGCAACACCTCATCGACGGCAAAATGTTCCGCCAAATCGTATCGCGCTCCACAAATCCAAACTACACCTTCAGCGCTACGACTCAACAATTCAGTTTGGGAGAGATGGCTGCACCGATTGTGGCTTTTGGTGATAAATATGTTGTGACTGCTAACCGCACTTTGGTTGAGAGTTGGATTGGTATGTGTTTATGTTTTATGTTATTCATAGAAGGAGAACAATTGATACTGTGGCTCGAGCTAATCTAATGTGAAATTTAGAAAATGAACGTCTGCCAACTGAACTTGGGTGGAGGAAACCGGTTGAGGAAATCTTGCTGAGTGATATTACTTATGTGACTGAAGTTCTCGGGAACCTCACTTCGCTTTATAGCACTGTGATTATTACGCCTAACCCAGACTCGCTTGCAAAGCGTCAGATGGGACACTGGGGTCAATCAATCTAGATAAGGTTACTACTGGATGGAAATCCTGCTCAGATAGATTCATTTGAAAGATGGAAACTATGGGTTAGATGAAATGAGGAGGTTTGAAACGGATGGGAAATGTTTATTTATGTTCTTGTATATGTATCTTTTGAATCAAAGCTCTTCGGAGCTCGAATTACCGATTCCTGGTCAACTATTCATTGAATGCGGACTGATTTGAAGAGATTGTGCGTGTTTAGTGATGCTAATTGACGATACCACAAGCACGGTTCGAGTAATTGGCCTATATTAACAGAGAGACAATGAAAGAAGAAGACAAAATACATGGTCGCATGTGAAAATTCGAGGATTTTGACACTCAAAGCGACTCTGCTCACTGAGGTATGGAAGCAAATTGCAGCGACACCAAGCACTGCGGATTGAGTATTGTTACAATAAGCTTGTCGTTGGCATTTTAATGTCCTAATGGATGAATGCATGCAGGCATTAGGCTGGAGAAGCTACCAAAGTAGTGACGTAGATATGTGTCAAAATAATACCCAAATCAATGCATATTATCTACAAAAACGTCACTATTGTTGGCCCGTTAAGTTCGTATTAGTGTACTCACACTTGTGAGTGACTCTGAAAGGTAATCTTGAGTAGTCAGAAAAGCAGATCAATGAGATTGAGTCTCTTATACCGTGCCGCTAGGTTGTGATAATATGGAAGATGACATTAAGTCTAAGAGAGGTAGTATACCTCAGTTTGAGTGCCGTTCCTGTCGTCTCAAATGCAGTAGAAGATTGTTGGGTTGATTTCGTAAAAGTTCTCGAGATTCGACATGTGGGTTGTGGCTTTGCATCTGATGGACCTTGAGCTGGAAAGAAGCGACTGGGTTGAGAACCAATGGACGTCGCAAGGACGCAATCAATAACCGGTGTTTCAGAAGACGGATGGAAATATACAGTTGGGAGAACTCTCACTCATAAAGTTATGACCGCTTTTTTCAACTAATGTGTGGACAGCTTCCACCTCTGACAAGAATCATTTGTGTCTTGCAGACAAGTACCCACAGTGTGCGATTGTCCTTGGAAGTCTAATGTACTACCAGACGAATGCATGCAAAGCTTATAGGTATCGTTGGTAGATAGATGTGTTGATTGAGTATTACCCAAATATCTTCTTGATATATCTCAATAGTTTGTTGTTGCTGTCCTCTATAAAGATATTGACCAGAACTCGGCGTGTAGAAATGTTGTTATGACGGTTCCAAATCCGGAACCGTGATCCAGCTGGTAATGGTCAAAAGTTATCGGCTACCCAGGGGCATCTTATAATCAAATCCAAAGTAATCTGGGGACTGTCACGGTTCACGTCCGAATGACGCGCTCGACGCAATTGATGTGAATATTTGTCGACGGTCGAAGACAAGAGACCTTCGTGACATATTCTTGGTACGTGCCTGCGCGAAGACACGAGATCATACGGAGCAATTAGAACCATAAGTTGTGATTCTCGTGAATGCTTCTGCATTTTTCTCTCATCGGCAGCTCATTCTTGCGCTTATTGACGTTTTCGAGTTTTTTCTTGGATTTCTCTTGCCAGGGCTCGAGTAAACAAGAAACACAACCTTCATAATTGGAGAAAGAAGTAGGGAAGGTAAAGCAGATAGAAAGGATGTCGGCTTGATGAGCTTTCATATATCTCTACGTCTGTCTGTCAACAATATCCAAATATTGTTCATCTTCTGAGAATATTGATGGAGTGGGAAATTTGGAAAAAAGGCGAGTTGAAGTTTGAGGAAGTGGGAAGTGGGAAGCGAGAAATATTCTGCAGAGGCGGTGCAAAAGGGTAGCAGACACAAAGCCGCTCTCAAAGACTGAAGCTAAGTTACATCGTTAAATTTAATCCCAAACAGAGCGTAGAAAGAAGATAGAAAATTAGACAATAGGAAAATGATAGGGAAAGCAGGAGTAGTATCTTGTACTCGATCATGAAACATCCCATATTTTCATAGTGCTAGATATATGATATGCATTATACCCACCATTCACAGAAACTTCAAAACTGGGTAGTCGTACAACATTAGTAGGGTTTAGATGACTGCAAAAAATCTAGCTATCGTAGCTGAGGGTTCCTTCGCGATTTTGCATCTTTTTGACTTTTCTTCGTCTTGGATAGCCACGGAATAGAAATGCAGTAAAGAGGGAATATTTTTATACGCTGGTTGATATGTGAAGAGATGAAGTGGGAGAAGAGATGAAGTGGAAGGCAAAGCGATGGGAAAGGAGATGTTGCGGGTCCCCTTGGAGAGATACACCTTCTGCCCAGAATGTCTTACCAAGTGACACCAAACACATAATTTTCCTACAGTTGGATCAACTTGTTGATACAGGCCATTTCGCTTGAGCCAAGTCTCTCATGATGTTAGTGACTCTAATATCAAAACATCGCTGGGCTTCCTAGTGTGCTCGACAAGCGGGATGCAAATCCTTCACTCTGAAAGTTTAACCTCTTTCGAAATTCTGATATCTTCAACATATCCTTTCAATTTCAGAAAGTGGAATCTGAACGAAACAGTTGATGTAATGAAAGTAGACTCATTCGCTGGAACTTTATTCTTTTTTTGTGGAGATGTTCGTAACTATTGAAATGCCGTCCAGAACATACAACCAGGGGTTTGTGATGGATCAAGGGGTCATCATCTAGACCTCAGCTGAATTCATGCCAGTCTTGCCAGAAATACCTATGATGCACTCACTACCTAAGTTGCTCTTAATTTCCAGCATTAGCACCATAAGAAAATGAATCGCCGGCGATAATCACACCGCGGAAACCGCTGCCTGGAGTTTAGTGACACTGTGATTCGAACCGGAAACATAAACATCTTTTTCTGTGGCTAATTTGCTCAGCACCATCAAATGCAGAAGCCGATATATTAGGTTGGTAACAATGGTCGCTGTTGGACAGACTTCAAAGGTGTATATACTAAAAAACGTATATGGTATAAAAGGTAATTCGTTCTGTCTAACCTCCCACTTCGTACGAAGTACCCCGCTCTACGGGACGCCCGTTCCGGACATTCTGTATATACACTACGCATACAAGAGTGGGATTGATGCACGTATTCTAATAGTCGCCCTAGGACACCTTTAGGTGTGAATGAGAAGAGAACTTAGGCATCACTTCAGTTCCGATACATCTCCTTGTCCGGACCCGAATCACTCGATTGACAAAACGCAGCACGAATGTTGAAAAAGGCTAGGGTTCTTGAGCACTAGTTCGTTGTTAATTATCATTCCTCGTCCAAAATATGTGATCAAGGTCATGAATTGTGATAGAATCTGGGAGTCTGGGGGTTGGGTGAACATTGAAGAGAAGGGCTCGGTGCTTGAATAGAGGAGGGATATACTCGAGTAGGTCATTTTGAAGATATCCACGGTTATGGAGTATATAATTCTCTTTTCGTTCCGGTTGCTCTCATCTTCGAACTTCTGGTGCATGTTGGATTCCCCTTACTTATACTCGAGTATTAACCCAAATATCTCGGACGAGGGGGATTGAGAACCTGGCAGAAGTTTTCGGAGTTTGGATGATCAGACCCCTTCCCAACCCCCCTGCAAAACGCAAATCATGTGCCTCGGCCCCACTTCAGCCCATCATATAAGACATCACAAATCATTCTTTTTCAAAAATGCCTCCAACTCATAAAATATGTGAATATGGATTCATCTGACTCGGAAAATGAAAATGTTAATGATGAGAAGGTAAGGAGGTTTCTTTTCCTTTACAGTACTCTATGTTTGCACTTTGCCAGCTGTCATCTTTTCCCACAATCTTTTGGACTTCTCTTCCATTTGGCTTGAATTTCTATTACTATTTAGATATCTTTGTCACTGTGTTCGGATTGCCTGTTTGATTTTTGATGAATTGAGCAATATGGTATGCGTTTGATGTGGATGTAGAGAAGTTTGGGCTTACAAGATCAATAGTCCGTCGTATCCTCACTCAAATCAGCGGTCTCTTCTCCTTCATCTCCTCACTCACCAACCTACCTAACCGGTCACATTCCCACAAAATGGTACCACCTACACCTCCGTACTGTCACGCTCATCACTCTTCCTATTCTCTTCCTCGTTGGAATATTTGGAACCCTCATCATAGGTGGCCGCAACGGAACATTCGAACTCATCGTCAGTCTCGTTGAGCAAGAAACGCCTTCGGCCGTTTTCCCGGGTGCCAAATACTTGTTATTGAAAGATTATACGGGTGTTAGAGTGTTTGATAGACAGTTGACTGTTCTGGTGGCTTTCTTTGCACCGGTCTGTGATAGTAGAAATGTCGCGTTATGGCTGAATAGTATTTTCGGGTTGGGGCAGTTTGGAGCGGCCTGGACGTTGTTGGTCATGGAGAGTTTGAGGAGTGGAAATAAGGGGAGAGCTGTTAGTTTGTATGTGAACCTTGATATGGATAGGAAGCTGTCCAATTTGATCATACCAGATAAGGCGGTTTGAACGTTACAGGAAAATTGCTGACCAAACAATAGCATCGGAACGGTTGGAGTTATTTTCCAAAACATCTCATATGCAATCACAGTACCACTCTACCTATTTATCCACCTCTTAACATCACCCGTCGCAAAACTATTTCCAGGAACATATGCGAATAGCGTTCTTCTCATCTCATCCCTAGATTTGAAGATCCTACCACTCTCAATCACCCTAGCCTACATTGTCCCGTCCATACTCATGGGCCTTGACGCTCCCTCAATAGTCTCAGGACCTACCCATCAAAAGCTCATAGCTCTCTGGCAACCCTTCCCAGTCTGGACAATCCTCATTCAATGGACCCTTCGCTCATTCTTCCAATTCGTTGGAGCGAAGCTCACATCGAAAGACTCAAAACAAGCACCAGCACCATTAGGAGCATCGTATCTCAGCAACGCCAAACATGTCTACCGGTTCCTCCTCGCCTTGTGCGTTTTGACGCACCTACCTATTCTCCTAATTGCTCTCATCCCCGCCTCAGCCATCTCGGATATTTTACCTAAACTCGCTCCGTATGCCAACCTTAACTTCTTCGATATATACGTCCCCTATTTCCCATTCCCGCTTACGCAACGAGTCTCCGATCTCGCAAGCGGTTCACACACATTTCTTCAATGGGATTTAGCCACCGGTTCGACAGCACTTTTGCTATGGGCTATACTATTATATCGAAATGCCACGACCGAAAGAGCCATTGTAGACCCCAATACTAGTCTCCCATCCTATCAGATCCGGGAGATGCTTGCAGGTGAAAGGAGTAAAGCTGGCGCGTTGAGGAGAAAATTGTTGGTTAAGATAAGTGTATGGACGGTATTATCTGGGCCAATTGGAGCAGCCACAGCACTCTTGTGGGAGAGAGATGAAATCGTACGACAGAAGATTAAGCAGGGTATTTGATTTGAGGTTGATAGTGTTGAGATCTTGGCCATATGCTCCTAGCCGAAGCCCTCTCGGATTTCTATAACAAAAAATTGTATTTGGTGGGACAATCTTGGGTAATACGACTCGCATGACATCAAACAAACACAGGTGCGTTCGTGGATGTTGGTTAATGTATTTTTGTATACAATATCTACCACTCTATCAATGCAAATTTACTTTCCTCCTTCAAAAACAAATACAAATACATTTCAAGCACTGCACTGCAGCGATCCAACAATCCAATCTTCAACCTTTACCTACCTACAGTAAGTTACATACCCTGCGTAACAAATAACAACACAGCACAGCGCCAATCCCCCACGCACCACCATCACACCAGTACACCACACCATCGCACCACACCACAACCTTACCCCAAATGAAATATCCGCGTCGCACTCAACCAAGAAAATACAATATGACAAAGTATTACTCACATTTCGTAATTTGTGCTTTGTACTGCCTCACTGCCACCGCCCCAAAATTCAATTCTGACATCCATTCCACCTTTTCTGCACGTAACATTTCACTACTGCGATGGTATCTGCAAGGTGAGGCCCTGATTTTTGAAGTTTTGGCTGCTGTTGTATGATTGTATGATATGATTGTATGATTGTGTGATTGTATGATTGTTCTGCTGCTGTTGAGGTTACTTACTTGATCTGATAATAATAATACGTAGGGGGGTTCTGTTGGTGGATAGGTGGATATAGACGTCTAATATGATAGCGGAATTGGTGGATTATATATTAATATATAGTTATTGTGTTCGATGCGGTAAGGGACGGATAATATATTCCGTATTTATAATGATATATTTATGGGGTACTAGATATAGTGTTTAATATTAATATTGATATTAATGTTGGGTATGGCAGGACGGGAAGGACGGGAAGGATGGAAGGAAGAAAGGGCATATTATATTATAGGTTGGATGAATAGAAAGTTTACTCTTAATAATCCAATAATAGTTTGATGGATGATAAAGTCTGTTTGTTTGTTTATTCGTGAAGGGATAAATATAGATATGAGATCTTCTTGATAATATGATAATCAATGAGTATGTATACGAGATGTACCAGTACAACTATTAGAAGTCGATTGGTTTTGACCACGTATATCTTCATCGTCAATTGTGGAATTCAAGTATATAATCTTATATGCAAGATTATCTTCGTGGCAGTCAGACTGTCAGAGAGAGATACTAGGTACATATCTATCTACCTACCTATTATCTGAAGCTCCAACCTTCATCTGGTCTGATACTCAGAATACTTTTGACAGATTATATTCGGACTCTTTGACCAATCAAAACTCGAAAATTGATTAAATACTCATTTGAAGAAGGCTTAGAAGGCTTACTAGTAGGCTTATGATCAACATGGTTTTGGGATATAAGCTATGCCTCATCGGTCATTTTTGACATTACCGATATTATTGGGATTGTAGATCCCTCTTATTAATTGATTAATTGTCTAAACACTGAATAAGAGCTGTATGATATTCTAAAAACGAGTCTGGATCGTCGTCCTTGCCTTGTTGAAGTGGGTTGGTTGGGTGGGTAGGTAGGTACTTTATTAGACCACTGCCACTTATGTTACTACCGACTTACTACTTACTACTTTTACTACCGATAACTTTACAAAACATCATCCATTCGATATACCGTTTTGATCATTACTACAGATCATACATAGAATAGAACAAACACATACATTTTTGTGAATCATACATACATCCATCCCATCCATCTCAAGTACGAGTATTCAGCCTTATCGCTTCTTATCGCATTCGATCATCTTTGCTATCGAAGAAGAGACCGAGGGAATATTCTAGGTCTATCATCTTCTGATTCGGTTTTCGGATTCTTCTATTTCTGTTAAAACTTGAGCGCAAACCCAGCCTTCGAATCTGACATTCACTCTTAAAAGCCCCTATTGCTTCTACTTGCTTTGCGGAACAAGATCTCAATATCCCTTCTTCAACTTCAGAATACACATTTCCGCATTCCATTGCCATGTCAACAACAACAGCAAGTTACGAGCGGATATCCAACAAATACGAACCACCTTCAAAGGGAATAATCGATATCTATTCGCAAAAGGGATTTGTTTTGGATAGTAATGGTGATTCACGGTGTGTAAAGTCGATCAATCAGTTACCCGTCCGATTACCACCTTCACCAGCCGATAGTGACAAGATGGATATTAGTCGACCATCCTCATCGCCCTCGCCCATCATTATTGAAGGCCAGCGTATCACTAGAGATATTTCACGTGGCACGCCCGGCGATATCACCAAATCGAATATGCCCAAATCACCAGAGCAGAAACAGTTGGCGAAGAAGAGAAGTCAGTATTATGGCGATGCTTTTGCATATCGAGAGCCGGCCAGCAGTGCTAGGGAGAGGGTAAGCAGGGATAGTATGGTGCTTTGTGAACTGGTGACAAATGTTATTGTTGGTTTCCCTTTTCTTATCTTTCTCTGTTCTACTATTTTCGTCCCATCAAATGTCAGCTGCTAAGACTATGTGCAACAGATGCGTGAAGAACACACCCTTCTCACAAGTCTTTCCAATATCCTCTCAACCCGCTATCAACGCCCCGAATCCTCCATTTTCGTCACCCTCAAACACTCCGCATGCTTCATTGTAGCTGGTACCTTTGAACCTGCCTATATTATGACTATAACTGCGCTTCCATCACAGATGCAACCCGTCACGAATAAGAGAAATACATCGCTGTTGCAAAATTATATGGCCACGACTGAATTATATGTTGAACCAGAGCGCGGTATCATTAAGTTTGTGCCATTGGCAGAGGAGAACTTTGCCACAAACGGGAGGACGGTTGCTGGTGAGATTGAAGAACTGGAACGAGAGGTCGCGAACGATGGCTCGGGATCAGGACGCTTGCAACCACCGGGGACTGTCAAAAGTAAGAAGAGAATGAGCACAAAGTCCACTAGGAGTCTCAAAACCAAGCATATGCAAACTCATGAAGAATATACCCCGTCCGTCAGTTCCGGAGCAACACCGCCATTACCGCCTTTGCCAATTGAACCGAGTGCGTTAGATAAACAGGCAATGCATGTGCAAAGAATAGGGAGAAGAAAGAGTTTTATGGCTGCAGTTTTTGGAAACAAGTCAAAGTCTTGAAAAGACTAGGTGGTATACATGAAATGAGAACGATCGTTCACATAGAACATCTCAAGGATATGAAACGTTTACTGCGCGGTCATAGCGACCCACAAAAGCACAAAAAGCGCTTTGCATTTTCGTTATCTGTGTAGCGACGGAGTTTACAAGGGGTAGGACACCTAGGATTACATGGATGGATATGATCAATAAGAAGGCATAGGAACAGGACTCGGCGGATAATACAATGCTTCACAGGTTGGATATGGCGTCACATTATTGGGAATGGAAAGGAGGCCTTATGAATACATTACGGCATCTTTTTGCTGGCTAGGAAATAAAAGTTCGGGAGGCTTTTCGTGGAACGGGATGAATTGAAATGATTGATGTTAATAATAGGATATAGAAATAGAGCTGCTGCTGGTTTGAGCTATAATGCTTGACGGGGTAGGCAGACAGGCTGGATATTGATATTAATATTAATATTAATATTAATATTAATATTAATATTCATACATTCAAATCAATGCTTACTTATCTTACCACTGGAGGTTATCATGATATCACTTGCTACTTACTAGCTGTCAATGTTTGATTAGTGATTTGCGCACATTGGAAACGGACCGTGATTTCGGGATGGGATGGGATGGGATGGGATGGGAGGGGTAATGTAATGATTGTGATAAGTGATGAATGATGATCGGTTTCTCGGGAGGGAGGGAAGGATCTCGGGAGTTCGGAAGGAAGGCGGGCTTGTTATGATTAATGTAAGATGCCTAGGTATATACATTCTGCTATACAAGGTATCGGATACTGGATACCATATACCGGGTTACTGGGAGAAAGGTAGGATGGGGACCTACCTACCTAGTAGGTAATATAGTTTCGAGCTGAGGTGTTATCCATGTACCTAGGGTGTTTCGGACGATAGTATAGTTATAGAATATTGAATACTCCGGGACTCGGGAGATAGAATCGGGAGAAGAATGTCTTCCGAGTGAATTGGATATGATTGATTTCAAATGTTTATATAAAAGCAATTTGATATCTGATTAAAAAAAAATGAAGCTTTTGGTGGATTATAATTTGCCTTCTCGGTTGATAGTTAGTAGTTAGTTACCTTCATGCATAGACCAACCTACCATACCAACCTACCATACCAACCAACCACGACAACTAACATCCTCAATTTCTGTCCCCAAACCATCATCAAAAATTTTTCAACAACTCTTTAAACTCTTTATTAACTCACCACTTTGGATTGAATACCAAAGGATTCGATTTTATTCAGTTCATAGTATTGATAAGATAGATCATCAAAAAGGGAAGATTCTATTTTGAAACAAAAGGAACATTAAGTGAGTGATCTACCTATTAGCCTACCTACCCACCACAACCTGCCGGCTTGCTTCTGGGATGTTGACAGCACATCTTTTTATTCACTCGGAACTTGCAAATGATTAGAGGATCTTTCATACTGATGAGAGATCTTATAGTTCATATATTCATATATTACTTTAGTCTTGAAAGGTCAGAAAGAAAAGGGTCGGGATTCGGCAAGGGATCAGGGTATCTTTCTATCTTTTTGATTTCGAGTCTCAATACCACCACAACCCGGCATTTCATTCCATCATCAAATTCATCAGAGGAATACCAACAGACACATCCAATATGGAGGTATGAAGAACGCTTTCTTTCTTTCCTTCTTTCTTTCTATGCATATTCCAAACTTGTATGGTTTCTTTTGCTTTTCTTTGAATTGGATGGGTGTAGTGTCCTTGCATTTCCAGGGAGCTGGTTCTTACCACGGGTGTGGTTGTGCATGAATGCATCCTTTTGGTCATGACCATGTCTCTGCCTCGACTGGTATACGGAAATGTGTATCATTGCTGGCTCCACTAGGTACTCTTTTGCATTTCTTTTCTTCTGCATATGTATTGGTTTTTCCTTTGTGTTTGGTCTGATTTGTATAAGCAAAGCATAAGTTTGATATCGGAGGACTGATGTTCATTATTGCTTGTTCTCCTAGTTGACTCATATTATATCATTCTCTATATGTGTAGAGGTGAAGATTACATACTTCAAGACTTACTTTCTTTGACTAGTGTCATTTGAAAGATTTGAAGGAGTCATTCCGGTGTTGGGATCCTGTGCATATCCGTCCCCATACACAGTCAAATTTAGGAGACCGAGTACACTTCGGTATTTATCCGAGACTTTTGTATGAGTGCCGGCTTTGAGGTTGGACAAACAAATGGTGGAAGTTAGTTATAGACTTTTTGCTTGTGTTTTCTTGTAAGGCTGGAAGGGTTGTTTTGGGGAGTTCACTTTTGGATAATTGTTTTGATGGGTTGTGCTTTGCAAATCGGTCTTAATTCGACAAACACCATTTCACCACATCAAAAGAGGACTATTGAAAGTCAGATCCTAGCCAATATTACACCACAACTTACAACCTCGATTGATTACATCTTTCCTACCTCTCAATCACTTGTCTCCACTTGTCACACATTGCGCAAAGTTGTATTTATCACTTGTGCGATCTTTGTATCGTTTTTCTTTTAAGTATAATCATAATGTCTTCCCCTACTTCAGTTTTGCAAACTGGACGTAGACGCACCAAGGAGGACCAATCTTACAGTGGTCCTCCAAGGATGGGTCCTGTTCGGCATATTAGTCCAGCCTCACTAAATCTTGAATCTCTCTATGAACAGAATCGTGCTGCCCTTCAAAAGAAGGATGCTACCAAGGTAGTTGATCCAGCTCCTGGTATTGCTGCCAAGGGCAAACCTAGATTGTTGTTGATGGGTCAAAGAAGGTGAGTTTCAATGACATAACACATCATTCTCGGACATATTGTATACTAACCATCTATAGATCTGGAAAGTCCTCAATCTCAAGTGTTGTATTCCATAAAATGCCTCCTAATGAAACTCTCTTTCTCGAATCGACCGCAAGAATTCAAAAGGATTCAATGCAGTGAGTCATGATACCCTTGGATTTCATGGCTGCCTACTAATATACACACTCAAGCTCTTTCATGGATTTCCAAGTTTGGGATTTTCCTGGCCAAGTCGATTTTCTTGATGCTCAATTTGACCTCGATGCCATATTTGGTGAAATTGGTGCTCTGATTTGGGTTATCGATGCTCAAGATGATTACCTCGAAGCTATTACGCGCCTCAATAGTACAATCCTCAACCTTCAACCTACCTACCAAAATATCAACGTCGAAGTTTTCATCCATAAAGTTGACGGTCTATCTGATGATTACATGCTTGATATTCAACGTGATATCATGCAACGAATTCAAGATGAGCTATCCGATCACGGCATCGAAAATGCTCCTATCAGTTTTCATCTCACCTCTATCTACAACCATTCCATTTTTGAAGCTTTCAGCAAAGTCATTCAAAAGTTAATTCCTCACCTCGCCACTCTCGAAGCTCTCCTCAATGATCTCTGCCGCAATTGTCGTTTCGAAAAAGCCTATCTCTTCGATGTCCTCTCCAAAATCTACATCGCCACCGATTCCTCTCCCGTCGATATGCCCTCGTACGAAATTTGTAGCGACTATATCGACGTCATCGTCGACGTGTCCGAAATCTACGGTTACCAGCGTGCTCCAGAATATATCGCCAAACTCGAAGGACCACCTTGGAGTAAAAAACTTGAGGATCAAGTCGCGTGCAATGATGCTGAGAGCGTCATGGTCCTTACGGCAGATAAGAGACCGATCATGTTGAGGGAAGTTAATAAATATTTGGCTCTGGTTGCTATTATGAAGGAGGGTAGTTATGAGAAAATGCCGTTGGTTACTATGAATGTGGAAACGGTGGTGGAGGGTTTGACAAAGGTTTTTGAAATTACGAGACAGAAGAAGTGAAGTGATGGGATGGGCTATTTAATATTCATTTCTCTTGCCAATTTTCATCTTTTGTGGGACGCCTTTCATCTCACTCTTTTTCTTCTTACTTGACAATTGCATATTATATCATATCATATGTATATCACGAGGAAAATCGCACGCTATTTTTCTTCGAATGATATTATGATATACGGAGGAGGATATCATGATGGATGGATGGAAGGATGGAAGGATGGATGGTTGGTGGATGGTGGATGATATTCTGTGTGTGTTTTTTTCTTCAAAAAATGTAAAATGGCGTTTCCGTTTTGCAAAGGCGTTGATCTTGCTAAGTTTGTTATTTATGCATATATATGTGTAAGTGTGTTTTTTGTTTCAGAGGGAATGAGGGAATGCGAAAGAAGGAAAATAGGTATTGAGAATTGGGGTTTTAGGGGGAGGAGATGAGGGGAGGAGAGGGGAGGCATGGAGGAATGGAGAGGAATGGAGAGGGGAGAGGAGGGAAAAGAGTGTCATTCTTAGGGGGTTGGATAGAGGGTAGTAAATGAGGGTGTCGAATAGTGGCGATTTGATCCTCTAGCCTTTAGCTTTTAGCTTTTAGCTTTTAGCCTCTAGGTCTAGGTCTAGGTCTAGGTCAGTTACTATATATATATATATAGGGAATTTGAATCGAGAGTTCAAGAGTTTTGGATGTTTAAAAGTTTAAAAGTTTATGATGGATTTGTATAGTTTGTATGTAGTGCGTAGTGTTGCTGTGTTTGGTGATTGGTGTTTGGTGATTGGTGTTTGGTGATTAGGTAGTGGTTATGTAATTATGTAGTGGTTAGTTATGTGATTAGGTGATTCTCTTCTCCTCAAGCTTTTTCTTCTTTGATTAATTATCAAGGATTTGAGTATAGTAATGCGTAGAGTAATGAGAATCTAATTAGAAGGAGAGTGGGAATGGGAAATGGGAAATGGGGGAGTGGGAGGGGAGTGGGATGTTTGAAGGGGGAAATGGGAATTGGAGTGATGGGTGTAGAGGCGAATGGGAAATGAGAGGGGGGGCGGGGATCCTATTATTCGTATATAGAACAACAACATACCGATACTGATAGCTTTATAGTTCTGCATTTCTGTATGTAGGTAAATATCTGTGTGGTTACTTATTGTGTAATAAGATGGTATGGTTTTGTAAGAGGAAGGTGCTAGGGTATAATCGATATATAGCGAATTTGATGTGGATTTGGATTTGGAATTTTATAGAGTAGGTATGTATGTAGATGAGTGAGTGGTGGTGTATGTTCGTTTGGGGGGGGGGGGGGCCTTAGATGTGTATTTAGGTATATACTCGAGTAATAAATAGATGGAAGATGGATGATGAAAGATGAAAGATATGGAAGGGTAGAAGGGTAGAAGAGTAGAAGGGTATTTGATAATATAGTACAGAAACTGTCTAGGTATATAATAATACTCGAGTAGATACAATTAATCTACCAAGTAAAAATGATTAATGATAAATAGTATGATCTACTCGAGTAATTAAAGAATAAATGGATGGAATTATACAATATAGTAATTAGAATAGAGATATATATCTATCAATACCCCATAATACTCCTCCTCCCCATCCATTAAAGAAAGACCTTCCTTACTTGACTCACATCACGAACCCATAATAAATTCCTCATGACACAACACAATTAAAAAGTACTTCTACTTCTACCCATAGAGGTAGCAGCAGCAGCAGCTATGCATGGCACACACAGTATGATTTGTATTCATAACAAATACAAAAGTTCCCATCTTTCTTCAGTCTTTCTTCGTATCAAGAACGATGATGTTTTCCTTGGGATTGCTATTGATAATCTTTTGAGAAGCTCCATCCACCAGTGTCCACCACAGACCTCGGAAAAGATTGTAAAAGTAGATAGAGCGGACACTGCCCCACGAAATATAAGAAATGTACGAGATGCAACGGTTGCAGGATCTTTGCTCTGAATGGTACTCGGACTAAGACTAACTACTGATCCGCAGCAACAGCAATCGCTGGTTGGTATATATTAGGTATGTGTATGTGTATCCTAGGTATGGTATGGTATGGTATGGTATGGTATAATACAGAGCTTTTTGTAGGTGATAACCAGACCATTTGAAATGAAACTTCCAATGAAATGCCTCCTGAGCAGTGATTATGGTAATCTTGCATGCAGTATCTTTCTGTGAAAGACATGACCAGACTCTTAACTCCCAATGAATTGTCTCGGGTATTGTAAGCTATATTGATTTTCCGTACCGTAAGAAGAACGCTGACCCATGTTTCGAATCCAAAAAAGTATCCTCCTAGTTATGGTACATTTATTTCGTAAATAGCAGACAGATCGACTATCAACATACCCCATTAAACCTATGCTGCCTATTATACCTTGTTGAAAACATTTCTACGGGTTGAAAATCTGGTATCTAGCCTCGCCGGGATAGAATACCATATCCTCGAGTACTTGCGTGTCACCAGTTGACATCGACTCATCACCCCTCCAATCAATACCATGCGCCCGCATAATCTTATCAATCATCAGAGGGTCGAGGTCAGAAGCATCATCACCCCGCGGTAAATTCTCATCACTATCCGCACGACTCCAATAGCTGAGGAAAGCCGAGTGACCAGTGTGACACTGTGAAGGATCACCAGCAGCCGTGGGTTGACGATCGAGCGATGGAGCGCGAGATTTCGTGACGAAGTCATCTACATCAACCACCTTTGGTACATAATCTAGCTCGCCTTCTTCGCCGCGTTGACTCGGATTACCCCAATCCCACTGATTTTGGCGCCATCTGCTCGCTGCGAGATGTTTTTGTGCAGGGTTAATTTCGCATTCGAAACCCTGGTCGTACAACCACTTTGTCAAATGATCGTCGTCCTTCTTCTCATGATGGATGAGAGAACCTCGTTGCTGTTCCTTCTCGCAACGACCTCTCACTGCGAGAAACTCCCACTTTTCAACGGATCTCCACATTCCGACCGTCTCGCATCTCTCAAACGAGTCAGATGCATAGCTAACCTCTGCCTCATATTCAATATACCTGGTGTATCTTTCTTGTGGGGTTCCAACATGTTCGGCATAATATATGGAGGGCAATTTGCTACGAGCAGCCCACATTTGGTGACAATTGTAAAGCCCAAGATCACGCCAATTTAATTGCATTAGATCCGCTAACCTCACGATAAGACGGTTTTCCCATCTCAATGGTCTGCCCTGATCTTCTCCGCGATGTTCCCAAAGCCAAGAACTCTTGTCACCGGTAAGGGCCCCCTCGAGACAACCTGAGGTTTCGAATACCATGTCGAATTGACGAATCGTATGGTCTACAAGGATACCAAATCTGTCAAGAATGTGGGCCGGCCATGTGATTTTCAACTTTTGGAGGGCGGGACAAGAATCGACTGGGCAGATTAGATCGCAGACAAGAGCTAGCCATTGTGTTCGACAACCATTTTTGGAGGTTGGTTCGATGTGTAAATAGGTCAAGTTCTGAGCCATACGGACGATGCGGTTGTACGATCAAAGGTTGGAGTTTTGGATCGGGATCTATCATTCTATAAGTGTATGCTATAAGAAGGTGATTGAGACGAATGTGGCACGCGAAAAGCGAAAGGAAGAGATAATACAAAAGAGGGGAATATACGTACCCTTTGATATGACCACTAATTGGCTCGGAGAGTGGGACTCTAATATAGAGGTTTCGTAAAGTTGATGCCAAATAAACAACACAAGTATCCATAAAGCGGACGCCATTGTGTTGAATGAAATATCTTTGAAGCCAAACATTCCTGTGAGTCAAGCAAAAAGTATTGGTATTGTAAAAGACAGCCAAAGCTTCTTTGTAAAGACTTGGATCGTTGCGTAATGCTGCCAGAATGTTGCGAACTTGACCTTGACCATGGTTCCCATCCCAAGCAGCTTGAAGTAACAGGCGATAGATTATGTCGCGAATCTCGATCGGAAAAGTTCGAAGAGATGTTCTTTGCTTAGATGGGTCCATATTTGGTATTGTGCCAAGCTCCATCACTGATTTGATGCTTGTTGTTCTAAGAACACAAATTTGAGGCAGGAATATTGTTGGTTCCGAGGAAGAAACAAAGGTGAGGATGGGACACAAACAGGAAGGGAATGGAAGACCCAGGCAGCCGTACCCGATGTTTAGGCGAACCAGTGAATAAATTGCTCATGAACAAACCGATAGAGAATGATAAGGAGGAGAGACAAGAGTATGTTGGAACTTGGAACGACAACAGGTAAGGCTGAGTAAAGATGAGGTAGTAAAGAGATTGAAATAGCCTCTCAATAATCCAGAAGGAATACAATCAATTTAGAATGGATATTCTTATATAGTCATTTGTTAGTCCCCCTTTACCTATTGCTTCTTCTTTGTATCTACCTTCTCCCCCTTTGATCCTTTGCCATATCCTTCCCTTCTCCAAACACTAAACAAGCACCAGACAACCCACAAGAATCCCATTAAAACCACGCTGGCGGTTCCCATCTCCACCCATTTGCTCTTATTCAAGTCCAGTACTGGTACAATGACAGTATTCATTAATCTACCATCAGGTACAGCTACTGGCGAAACATGATAAAACATAGTCTGTGGCCCAAACAACCCATCATAACCTAGATTGACCCGATCAAATGGATTGACGGAGAACTTGCTACCTTCATCTGCTGTGCATGCCCAGAATACGACTGGGTATGGGATCTCTATAGGCGTATAGCCATCTGTGTTATTGGTAGGAGAGAGATATCGCAGATGAAGAGAAATTTCTGCTGTGAATGATTGGGTCGACTGAGGTGGTGCGAGTTCAAGTAGTAGAGAAGAACCCCAGATGTTCATTGCGTAGTCTGGAGCTTCGAGGTCGACTGGCGAGGTGATATGGCGGAGAACCTTTAGGTTTTTGGATGCCAGGAATAGGGGATCAGATAGCTGATATTTATCGGGAAATATGGTACGAGGTAAAGTAAGATGAGCATGTAACGAACATTCCCGGTCTGATGCAGGGGGTGAACTAGAGCTAAGCATGAGTTGTAAGGTAGGATGAAGACCAGAAGGTGACATGAAGGACGAGGTGAAAAAGGTTTCTGTGGAATGGTGTCTAGCTGAGAAGGCGAATAATGTAGGGGACGTTTTGGTGTCTTCGCCCACTACAGTCAAGAAGCCAGCTAATGAGAGCTCTTCGGGCTGCAACGGTGTTTCAACGGACAGTATGCCAACTTCTACACGGTCTTTTGATGCTAAATTTGTGACTTCAAGATCCCATGTTTGAGGTTCCCAATAGGCAACTGTGTTCATGGCATGAGATATTGCGTCAAAATCTATATCAACAGAAGATGCATGAAGAAGAGTATTGGCCCTCAAGAGACACTCTTTATCTGAATCATTACAAATCTTTTGCTGTATATACTCAACAAGGTTTGTGAGATCCTCAAGAGGTTGATAATATTGTGTTGCAGCATTTGAAGCAAATCGTTCAACGGACAGCTTTGTAAATGAGTCCTATTTGTATTCATTCAGTTATTATCTCATCATTTCTGGCCAAGGAAAGCTTACATCAGGAGACACACAATCGATTTCTCCGAATATTTTTCTTAAAGCAGGACACAAGAGATCTCTGTATAATTTTAGAATATATATATAGGGGCTGGGTAATGTAAAGACATACGAATTATTGCTATTCCTCTGTGGACTATAGAACACATGAAGGCCCGGAGAAAGTCTTGAAAGTAGAGGTGAAGCTGTATCATATTGGGTTGGACTGACCCATCGGATATGAAGCTCATGGGATGCTTTCAAGACCCGATATATTTCTTGAGGAAGTTCACTAAAGCTCAAGGTTACTCGGTCCTCTCTCGCAGCTTTTATATGTTTTGCTGTGATCGACTTCTTGGAGACTATGATATTCTGAGGATCAACTGCATCCTGAGGCTGCTGAAGGAAAGTAATTCTTTGACGCATGGTTGATAGAGATTTGTGTGTAGGATTCCGGATTCAAGTGATTGAAATGAGGGGTCCGGATATTGAGTTGGCTTGGTGGTGGTTCATGTTGGTCTGGCAGTATGTTTCCACCCCTGATAGGCGGTGAGTAATTTCAGCTAGCTTTACAAGGCTGATAGTAGCAGCTTCCGCCACCAAGAAAAGAGTAGCTTGTTTGTTACACAGCTGCCTTGTGTGATTATCTGTCCTTTTTTACGAGGATTCACTTAATTCCTCATCGCATGATATTATACCTCTTTCCCCGAATGCCTCATCAAAAACAACCACAATAAGAATGCTCTTTTTACCTTTCCTCTGCCCGGCTCTCCTAACCCTCCTCACATTTACCCCTCTCACCACAGCCGCCAAACCTAAAAATGCTATCCTACTATCGAAAGTGAAGACACTTACTCTACGCGACAATGCACAAACCTCTCACCGTCGTGTCTCGGGCGTCCCGCAGCTCACATGTAATGGTCCTGGATGTCGACATTACAAAGTCGACGTAATGCGTTGTACCAATCAAGGCTCTGATTATTCTTCCGAAGATATCCAATGGTCGTGCACGGCAAACCTCCCCGAAGAGTTTAAGCTGGGAAGTACGGACGTCATATGCGAGGGATATGATAGTAAGGACGATGAATACGTGCTAAAGGGTAGTTGTGCGGTGGAATACAGGTTATTGTTGACGGATGTGGGCGAAGAAAAATATGGAAAGAGTTTCTGGGATGATGGAAGTGGAGATAGTTCTATTGAGAAGGGAATGAGTCTGTTATTCTGGCTCATATTCGTGGGAGTCTTGGGCTGGATCCTCTACTCAATGTTTCAAAATTGGGGACAGGGACCCGCCAACGGTCAAGTCAGAAGAGGCGGAGGAGGGGGGTTCGGAGGATGGGGAGGAGGTGGAGCAGGAGGACCAGGCGACGATGACCCTCCGCCACCTTATCCGGGAACTGGAAAACGTTCCACAAGAAACTATGGAGCTGCTGAACAGGCGTGGAGACCTGGATTTTGGTCCGGTGCAGCGGCAGGTGCTGCTGGAGGTTATTTTGCTGGAAACAGAGCGAATAGACAACAAAATCAAGGTGGTGGTGGTTGGGGAGGTGGAAGCGGAAGTGGATGGGGTGCAGGCTCTGGAAGCTCAAGCGCAAGCTCTCCATCCTCCAACACTCGCTCAAACACAGGGTTCGGGTCTACATCCAGAAGATAATTACCATAGCAGTTTAGGGGATTTGGAATTTAATCGCTCTCCTTGTAACGGGCCGAGGGACGGTGAAGTGAACGATACGAATAATGAGAACAAGGGTTTTAGGTACCTTATATAACGCTACCCAAGTAATTACCTTCTCATATTTGTCATGCTTTTTTTCCATCAGCAGTTTTCCACCATTTGTTCAATGCTTGCCATTATGATTGCGCTCCGGGTATTTTTACGTGGAGGTATTGCAAAGTGATCGACTACGGTGAAACATCCGTTTTTAAAACATAGATATTTATTTCTATTGGAGCTATCTGACCTGCCAGCTCTGCAGCTTTCCGACTGCATCAATAACCAAGGGTGAAGAATACTCCTTGCCCTGGCCACTCAGCCTGTTATCTTAAAATACAAAGTCCATCTCTGTTTGCTCCCAGTTCAGGATTTCCCCGATTGAAACAAGGGGATGGATTTCATCACAATAGAATCTAAATATGAAGAAAAGTGGTATACATGGGACGAAGCCCTTTTGCTGAAAGCAAAAGCCAATCCCCGCTCGAATGTGCAGTCATACACAGTGCTTGAAAATCAAAATCATACAACTTCCCAATGGCCTGAATCGAATCCGTAGTCTGAAGTCAAAACCTCCATATTACATATGAGCGGTCATGACATCCATTTTGTCGAAAGGTTTAGCGCAATTGGGGCACTTTCTCATGCGGTTCGCAATTCGGTCATCCACGCATTGGTTGCAAAAAAGATGTCCGCATGTCTTTAAAACAGTGTTCTTGAAGTTTGCGCGGCAAACAGTACATAGTGCAAGAGTCTATATTGTATCAGTAACAGTCTCATAATAAACAATAAAAAACTCACTCTGAGCATTTCCTCCTCGCCCGACTGATTGCTCAAACTCTTTTGTTTCCACGTGTCTCGATCCTTTTGTGCCTGCTCACATCGGACCCGAAGTTGCTCATTCTCCAACTCCGCGGCGTGAAATTTCTGTTTGGTACCCGAGTTTGCGGAATCCTTTGATTTCAGAAGGTTGGTCAATTCTGCCGCTTGATTTTTCAGGCTTTCACATTTGCTTGTGGCCTCTCTACTCGATATCTCCAGCTTCTTGTTCTCCGACATGATAGAGGTATTTGACTGTCTCATATCGCTCAATTGCTTCTCCATGTTGCTTAATAAGGACCGGTCCGATGTCTCCACATCCTTGAGTTGGGATATTATCTCGGAGCTTTTGGCGTTTTGAATCTTCAAGGACCGAACTTCCGTGAGACGAGTATCCATATCCTTTCGAGCCGCAAAATATTTCTGATCAGCCTTGCTCTTTTCGGCCGCTAAAACCGAGACCTTTTCTTCGAGAGCCGTGAAGTCCATTACTTTCTTGCTTGTTAGGGCCTGGACTCGCTTGTAGGCAGTTTGAAGGGCAGGTAGTTCTTTGTTGATCGAGTCATAACCTTGTTGAAGGAGATCGTACTTGACACGCAATTCTTCGAGATTCAAAGAATCTGTCTCGGGTCCCGGCGTTGGTTGGCACGATTGCTCGGCAATCTGTCTTAGGCGTTCGACTTCAAGTTCAAGAGATGTGATGCGATCATCCTTGGCTCCAACCAATTCTTTCAGATGTTCAACAGCTGCGTGATCCTGATCCTGTGTAGCCTTTCGCAAGCTAAGATCAGCAAGCAATTCATCTCGGGCAGAGCGGATCCTCGTCAAATCAGCATCAAGACGCTGAAGTTGACTTTCTAGTTCGCCAGTAGCCGTCTCTGCTTCATTCTCTATCTGAATACGATATGCGGTTCGTTCGGCTTGTAGTTTTTCCGCCTCCTCTCGCAATTGTATATTGGTGGTTTCAAGATGATTGATACGTTTGATGACATCTTCGTGTTGAATACGAAATTGCTTGAAAAGCTCAGTTCGAGCATAATCGTCATCTGAGGGTGCCTGTTTGATACTGGCTGAAGTGATCTGTTCTGTTAGTGATTTATTTTCCGCAGCCATTGCCTCTAGTTGTTCTTTTTGCTTCTCAACAACTGCTTGTGCTTCTTTGTATGCCGACTGGTTTGCTTCCTTGTCTTCAGCTATGCCATTTGTCATTTCGGTGTCCGTGCCATTTTCTGCTCTAACGCCATTAGCAGTACTATGGTATAATGCTTTCGCCTCTTCCTTACGCACTGCATCGCTCCTCAACCTATCTAGACGCTTTTCGGCCTTGATGTAACGTAGTGAGGCTGATTCGAGACGCTCATTTAATTCTTCTTTTTCATTGCGTAGCCTCTCAACTGTCACAAGGTAATCTTTCTGGGAAGCCAGCATTTTTGTAACCTTTGCTTGGAGATCTTTTAAATCCGCCGAGGGTTTGCCACGGGCTGCAGCAACATTGGTAAAAATTGTATGCAATTTCGACTTTATTTCTATGCCTTTGGAGGCCAAATGATCGGAGAATCCCTTGATACCATGAAATTGTAGAGAAGTCGAGAATGATACTATCATACATCAGCCTTTAATCCACACACATACACATAGAAAACAAACCTTCTGGCTTTTCTGCGTTTGGAATATCATTTTCCGCGAGGAGTGTCACTTCTTCTAATAACTGTAGTCCATTGTCAATCTCGAGCTCCAACTGACTACTGATAAGGGGCTTATCGTACCTGTGTCCACCAAGCATCAATAATTCTCAAATGGTCGTCATGATCTGTGGATTTCTTTTGTATATTTTTTAATTGCGACTCTAAGGTTGCCTTTTCTCGTTTGTACTCGAGCATTTGTCGGTAGATCGCATCTTTTTGGTATTTCTATAACGTGACATATCAGCCTGCCATTCCAACCAGTTTGTTCTTTATTCGAAAAAGGGAAGGTGTATTGACTACATTGATCCGATATGTTGTGGGGGTGCGAGTAGGGGCGTGAAGGTTTGCAGGCTATCCATGCTGTTCACAGCAAGCTGCGCATTAGCAACAGCCACATAGATTTCAAGAGCAATCCCTAGACTCTTGTATGACGTTGATAGATGGGAGAGTTCAAGAGAACATTGTTGGGGGCACTCATGCGAAAGGATATAAGCCATGAGACTAGCTACTTACCTCAATATCTTCAGACCACGGCGCGGTGTTTTCGGAATCAGCAGAGGCCTTACCAGCACCATTCATGGCTTGTCTCTTAGTAGGCGGTGCAAGATCATCAGTACTCTGACCAGCTGCCCTCTTCCTATCCTCCATCTTGATGAAGGAAGGGAGAGATGGAGCTGATGCGGCGACGGGCGTCATCAGATCGAAGGAGGTGAACAGTTCATAAGATCAAATACGACAGTGGATTTGACCAGATAGAGATATGGCGCAGGGGTAAGTAGGATTCAATGTTTCTGGAAGTGTTCTTTTGTTGACTTTGTATTGTTGTTATGGCTTGTAAGGTCGAGGAGGTTAATTAGAGGTTAAAGGCGAAAGAAGTTGCAAAGCCGCCAATTCAGAAGTGGTCTAGCGCCATAATTTAGTCATAGCGGGAGCCGGCTCCAGATCAATGGAAATAATTATTTCAACCCACCAACACCACCCACACTCAAAGCTTCCATTGTTCGTTTCAAAGAGAGGAGAGAGGAAACCTTTAACTTTATAATGTACATTCGATATATGAGCAATCAACATTGTTGAAACGACTAATAGTACTACAACTCAGCGACATCCTTTTGCCCTCGCCCATCGGGCGCGATAAATTTTGTCAAAATGTCTTCCATGCTTAGGAAAGGTGGAAAGTCATTCAAGCCAAGCGCTCGCCCTCGACCAAATGCTACGAGGCCTTCTCAATCACAACCTGCTACACGCCCAGGTTCTGATATTCAATCACAGACAACAGTATCTGCGACGCAATTATCCAATTCTACACCTACGTTCACCGAAAATATAGCGGAGAAAGAAACTTCGCAATCGATACAAGTAACCCCTCAATCAAAACCGACTCCGCAAGCTCAACCTCAAACACCACTTAGCACTGCGAACAATGATAATACCCCTGCAATCGAAACCACGGCCAAAAGAAAGGTCGGGGCAGATGAAGTTGAGACCACGGCTCAACTCGAGCACCCACCTTCGAAGGCCCGCAAGTTAACCCCTCCTTCGGATCAAGTGCACCATTTCGAAAAAAGCGCGTCCTCGGAAACGGTTCCAGCTGCGTCTGCGAGCGCATCCGCAGCACCCGATCAACCATCAAGGTCTACTCAACAAACATCATCACAAACCGAAGCAGCGTCGGCTTCTTTAAATACACAAGGATCGATTCAACCAAGTCCTATTGGACAGGACCAGGTGACTGACAAAGAATTGCCTTCAAGTAGCTCTTCAACTACAGGCAATGCTACCAATAGAAAACCCGTTCCAGCGAAACCAACTCAATTGACAAGTAATTCTACCTCTACTCTCCCCACAGGAGCTTCGCAAATTACTACTACAATCGACAATGCACAAAATGATTCCCCGTCTACGAACGTAGAAATTGCGGGGGAAAATGGTCAGACACGGAACTTGGAGCCGGAAAGAAACTCGCAAAATACACTACTCGGCGCTGTTGGGGCTCCTACTGGACCTGGACAACTAGTTGATATGTCTATACAAACGACGCCCGCATCTTCCGAGGACGCGGATTTATCCGGCATGGGAGCGGGTGAGGCCAGCCAGACATCTCATCTAGTCTCCACGGCTACACCGACTCTCGAAGAGACACCTACTCCAATTGGCGAAGAAGCAGCGCCGGCCGCCAAAAAGCCAAGGAAGAAAGCGGCACCGAGGAAGAAGAAGGTCCAGGTTGAAAATGGCGAAGAACCTAGAACTGAAGTCGAGATTCAACTGAACAGACCGCGTCAGACTCCAGGAAACACTCGGGAACGCAGGAAGAAAGATGGTGCGGTAGCGAAGAAAAGAAAGGATCGGGAGGGCACGCCAGAAGATGCGGAAAATGAAGTTATCGAACCTGCGGTCATGAAAATGGCAGACCTTTGTAAAGACATTCGCATTGGCAAGAAGTTCAGCAAACATGACGAACTCAAGCTGAGGCATGCCCGAAAGAAGATCGATGCGCAATTGGCCGAACGTCCTGAACTTGCTGGTTTGATCAATAATGCACCAGTTGAGGGTAACGCTGAGTCTCGTGCAGAGCCTGCCGAGGAGCCTGTCATAATCATGAACAATAACGGATTGCAAATGCGAGTTATAGATGGACAGATTGTACTGGATGACCGCTCTTTACAAGTGGATCGGCATAGGCAAGCACGAGATGAGGGTCTAGTATTGGAAGAAATCGAGGAGAACGAATTCACAAGAGCCGTGAACTCTGGGCAATATATGAAGCGTGCTCCAGCTGTACGGTGGGATTCCAATGCGAATGAGTTATTCTATCAGGGTCTACGACAATTCGGTACAGCATTCGAAATGATTGCCGCGATGTTCCCAGACCGCAATCGAAGGCAAATCAAGTTGAAATTTGTACGAGAAGAACGTCAAAATCCAGCTAAAGTCGATCGGGCTCTTAAGGGCAAAACAGAAGAGATTGACTTTGAAGAGTACACTCAGCTTACAGGCCAAAAATTTGAAGATTCAGCAGACATCCAAGCAGAACACCAACGACTCGAAGATGAGCACAATGCGGAGGAGGAGAAGGTCGAAGCTGCTAAAGCGGCAGCGGATAAGAGAAAGAAAGAAGCTATTTCTAAGGCTGCGAGAAGAGGCCAAGGTGCCACCAGCGATGGTGAAGATGGACCAGAGTCGCAGAAGGAGAACGCTGGTGCTACCTTGGCAGGGATGGGGAAGAAGAAACCAGCTAAGTCTAAGAAGTCCAACAAAGCTTCTATGCTAGGTGGCGGGGAGGAACTCGAAATTCTTGGGACGGTGCAATAGGCTGGGATAAAGTCGTTTGGGCGTTTTAGGGGATACATCGAGGATTAGATGTGAGGCTTGCTTATTATATTCGCGACAAATGGGTATGTGGAGTTTGGTTGGTCCTTATACCCAATTATGCAGCAACTTGCAGATCATGGAAGGAAAATTTCTTCGGTTACGGATCCATAGCATACATCAAATCGCTATATATATTCAAGATACAGCAATGAAGTCTGGGCTATTAGAATATCACGAATTACAGTTAACATTGAAAATAACCAAATTTCTTATGACATCCAGTGAACTTCAAATACCGCATAAAATAATCTCTTTGATTGAGCTACTGCCACTCGCCCCCCCTCCTCCTCGTCCTCCTCCCAAACCGTTCACCCCTACTCCTATCCCTTCTTAATCAACTCCTCAAAAAGCGGTTTCAAAACCAACGCACTATCCTTCGGTTCCCTGCGCTGACCCCCCTCATAATCCACATAAGTCACGCCAAACCGCGTCTCGTATCCCTCGGCCCACTCAAAATTATCCATCAAGCTCCAGCCCAAATACCCGCGCACATCGGCGCCTTCCTCGACTGCAGATGCCATCGCAAGTATGTGCGTCCGGAAATAGTCGGCGCGGAATGTGTCGTGGAGGATTTCTGGGTACGGAATGTCGTTTTCGTGGAGGACGGACGTGCCGTTTTCGGTTATGTAGACTAGTGGGGAGGAAGGGGAGGGGATTAGTTTGATTTGGGGGGATATGATAGAAGGGAAAGGTGATGGGAATGAGGATGGGGAAATGTGCTTACTGGGTGGAAAACCATAACGCTTTGATATCCATAAAATCAAATCGTGAAATCCCTGGGGATTAGGACGTAACCACACACTCTGAGTCTCCGGACCAATACTCTCGCCGATCTTATTCTCAAACAGCGGCTCCAAATTCCCCAGAAAATCTTCTTCTTCAGCAGGAGTCGTCTTATGTTTGATATAATTAGCGGTATAGGAATTCATGCCGTAAAAATCATTCGAGCCTTTTACAAGCGCCACTTCTTCATCGGTGAAGGTGGGGAGACGATCTCCGAGTTGCTTGCGCATGGATTCTGGGTATTGGCCGAGGTAGATGGGGTCGGCAAACCACGATATGCTGAATTCGAGTTTGCGTTCCGCGGCTTCCACGTCCTGGGGATCCGAAGGGTCCCAGGGGTAGACGGCGTCACCTGGTGGGGGGTTAGTTTAGTTTAGTTTCAGGAGTAGATATTGTGGAGAAGTGAAGGGGTTTGGTACCATTAAGAGTAATTCCAATTTGACCACCATCTCTAGCCTTGAATTCTTCCCGATAGATCTTCACAGCTGTACCATGAGCTATAAGAAAATTATGTCCTACAGTCCAAGGTTCCCTGCTGCTATCTCCAACATCGCTCTTTGATCTATCACTCGTGTGACCCGGAGCAAATAATCCCGTGTTATAGCCCAAGATCGAGGAACACCACGGCTCATTAAACGTGATCCAATTCTTGACCTGAGGAATCGCTTGAAAAAGCACTCGAGCATAGTGAGCATAATCCTTGACAAACTCCTCTTTATTCAACAACCCTCCATACCGTTTATCCAACCCATCCGGCAAATCCCAATGAAACAGCGTCACGAACGGCGTGATGCCCTCTGCAAGCAAATCATCCACCAACTTGGTGTAATAAGCAATACCCTTAGGATTAATCGGGTCATGACGACCACCCAGCGGAATAATGCGAGACCATGAGATCGAGAACCGATAGGCTTCCGCCCCGGTAAGTTTGAGCAGTGCAATGTCCTCAGAGGCCCGATGGTAGGAGTCACATGCTACGTCTCCTGAACTACCATCTGCAATCTTGCCGGGGATCTTGCAAAATGTGTCCCAGATGGAAGGGCCGCGACCATCTTCCTCTGGTGCACCTTCAATTTGGTAGCTAAGCGGCGTTAGTATGAGATTAGAAATGTGCTTGAAGGGACAGCATACCTCGCAGTTGCGAAACCCCATTTGAAATCTTTGCGGAGGACTGCTTTACTCATGTTGCTCTTCTTGGAATGTGATATAGTTCTGGGTAAATGCAAAATAAACTAGATAAAAAATCAGAATGCAATTTAGTCGTTTTGAGATGGGAATCCAATGGCATATAAGTCCAAAGATGGCGGTTAATTGTAAATGAATATCATGTCATAACAATCAAATGAGAACATCTCCTATTCTACCTCTCGGACCGCTCAAACCGCGATACAATCATTTCCTCATCGAGTAACTTTTACATCTTCCGAAAGCTGCTTCGCCCCACCACAACATGGCGGGGCACCAAGTATCGTGAGACGGCTAGACGGGACGAAACCCCGGCTGGTTTTGATTGATCCAGCTCACGTGCTTTGGTGTTTTTTCGTGCCTGTATCTGGCTTGATACGCATACCTAGATGTTGTCTTCGGGTCTCAAATGGAAAGAGTATGTTGATTGAATGCAAAGAATTGTTTGCATTACTTCGTATTGTAGCCTTACATATAAGATGCACACCCCGTCACATTATTTATTACCAAAGCCCTGAACCCCTCATCCCGTAAATTAGGAGCAAATGATATCAGAAAGATAACTTTTCCGATATGACCATAGAACTGAGTGACCTTGCTGTACTATTGCAAACCTCTCTTATTATGTGCTGGTCCAAATCCATATCCCCGCAAACAGCGTTTCTGACCAGAATTCACCACACAAACTCACAGCCATACCATCATACCATTCCGTCTTACAACAATCAATCTCGCAGATATGATATCCGATTTATTGAGGCTCTTCCATGCTAGAATTCTCAGCTGTACTAGTAGCATCCAGCTTTCTCTTCCCTGTTGTTATTGATGTAAGCCCGTCCTCGTCCTCCGCGGTCCACTCTACGATTTCCCAGTCCACTTTGATTCGACCATTACTTGTTCTTGTGCCTCTACTTGTTCTCATTTTGCCCAATCGACTTCCTTGAACCATTGTCTCAAACCACGGTAGACCTTGTTCACCTCCACCGTTGTTCTCGGTACGTGATATGACGGATTCGATGGTCTGTTTATCATTCTGCGCATCTTCAAGAGCTTCTTTGGGAAGGAGGCCTAGCTCTTCGAGGTCTCGTAAATCCGACGAAGCCAACGACCCCAACGTCAACGAAATATAATCTGCATGAGCAGCCGGTTCTTCCGTCCAGTAGGATAGAGGGGTACCACAGAATCCGCAGAAATGGCGTTTTGCATATTGTTCAGATGGCGGAGTATAGGATCGTCGAATTAAGTGGTGCGATTCGTCGTCAAAGAAAGCGTAGGTCGTCGAGTGATACCATGCTAGTGGCACGCGAAGCCATGCCGAGAGGGGAGCTGCCTGTGATCTGCCTGTTTATCATGATATCAGCAATTGCCCTTGTAGCCATGAAAAGTATGAGGTTATCAGAGAGTCGGTAGAATTGACATACGATGAAGATTACTGCTGTCGAAAAAGACCTTTGCCCCATCTCCTGAATTTTGTGGGATATGGATTGTATATTTGTTGCGACCGCAAGAACAGCCACCTTGAAGTTCGCTCATTGCTAGATCCAAGGCTGGAGATTTGGTAGGAACTTAAATCAGATGTCCGAGAATTTTATTGAGGAATTGAAAGTGGTAGGTTGAAAGATGTTTCTCTTTAAAATATAAGAGTGTTTGATTGTTGTTCTATGAAGTTGTGATGTATTGAAATTAGGTATGAAATGTAATTGGTTGCTGTCAAGGAGGAAACATCTAGATTATTCCCAATGGTTCCTTAACTTCCTTCCCTTGCTATGACCTCGCTATATAGGTTTTCACCATCAACGATAATCACAATTTTGATGAGATATGTTTTGATGTAATTAAATAACACTTATTATTGCTTTGCATCCCAGTGGATGTAATTGCAAGATACAGTGTCAAGTATCAAATGAGTAAAACATTCTGCCAAGGATCCATACTCCAGACCAAATACCACAATTGGTTCTCTTCATCTGTTCATTTCGTTGTTCAAACCATGTCCCCATCAAAATGGCTGACTTTCTTAATCTATCCACCCATATATTACACTTTCCTATTCAAAACTGCACCGGCTGGCTCTCTTGCACTTTCGCTCGTGCCTTAACCGTTGAGATTCAGTTGAAGAAGATCAAACTGCTTGACATACGCGATGCAAACACAAGACCGGAAGTAGTAGCGAAGAAATGCGCTCTATCTCGGTGGAAGTAGTCAGTTCCAATCGGATTGTCAACAAACCGATAGATAATTCTACACAAGAAGGTGCGGGGAGCGGACAGTGCCTGGAAGTTAGAGTGTCGTCAAATAAATGCGCGCTAGTGAGGTGACCTAGGTCATTACCGCAGTGGTTAATTAAGCCCTGTCTCCAGATACCCACCCAAGACTGGGTGATGATAGGTTGAAGTTACCCTCGTCCACGCTTTGGCTACTGGAGCAAATGTGTCTAGTGATTTCGCGCATAATGATATTGTAAGTGGGGCTATAGAGATCCTCGTGATATGGCAAGATATATGAACGTCTATCTATAAGTAATATGTACGCTTGTGACATTTATCATCGTTATGAATATCTCGTTGGATCAATATGGGATCCCGTCTCCTGATTACTATGATGAGCTTCGCATCCCTTCCATCTTTTGGTGGACAGCACTCTCCATTTCCTCTCCTATTCTAGGCCCAGGACATACTACTGTATCCAGCCTAGTCTTCGAAACTCTAATTATACACACACAGTCTTTCGGAGAGAAGGTATATGGCCATTAGTGGAATCATTTGTGAGTAGTCCGTCATTGGGACCTATTAATTTGTTGTATAATATTGACAATCTAATAGTTTTTTTTGGAAGAAAGAGTCAATAGTATAGGCTACTGCTACCGTGACAGTAGTTTATCGAAAGTGAGTTCGATAATATATTTGGTATAGCTTCAGTTTAGATTAGTTTTACGATTTCCGATATCTACCAGTGTTTCCTCCTTTCCCACCCTGGCCTTGGGTATCTAATATTCCGGACTACAGTCCCACAATGCAATATAAGGCTTTTGATCTCTGACCAGAATTTCTACACCAAACTAGATTTACTAATTAATGGCATGAATCATTCCAAACGTTTAATTTTTTTGTGCAAAATAATTTAACGATTCTCAAGAATTGACAGCTTCCCCAATACTTAAAACTTCCAAATCCAACTTTAGTCCTTACCATTAACACTACCCATCCCCTCCTGAGCCTAATAAATCTTATCCTATTCTTTGGTTATAAATCTTTATATCCTCATCCTCATCCTCATAAAATAACTACCCAACAGAAAATATAATAACATTGGGAATCTAGCGCGCTATTTATTCGCGAGGTGAAAAGATTCTAGATCTAGATTAAATTAGGTTTATTCGGTTTACAAAAGCAATGGTAGAGTTGTTACTCAACTGGCGCAACTATGCTCGGATTTGTTTGCTTTTGAGATGATGTTTCGTTGAGGGTGGTTGATTGTAGTTATTTTATTGGGGTACTAGTAATTAATAAATCATTATCAGATGTCGTCAAGTGTTAGTGAGTTTCAACTAGAAATGTTAGAGGCAGAGGGAGTCTCGGATTGAAATATTCAGGAGTTTTATTGCTATATGGTAGCTATTTAATACTCAGGCAGGCAGATGAACATATATATGTATACAAGAGGTCTAGAATGTCAGGGGGACTCAGGACTTCGAGAATCGAACTTGCATTAAAAGATTTTCATTTTGGGGTAGTGAGAATTTGGAAAAAGATAATGATATTACTCGAGTAGGTATAGATTGTCACGGTGAGATAAGTGAGGATCTAGTGGTCTTGGCATAGTATAGTTAGAACTCTTTCGTTAAAATATAACTTATTAGAAATTCGAAGGATTATGGAAGTCCCTCTGGATATTGTGATGATAGATTGGGGTAAGATAATGTTGGAGTCTGATGTAATTGGAGTCCGGGGAGAATTGTCACGGTTTCGAAATTGAAGGATGATAATGATGTATAATTTTTCATTGTATTTTTGATATAGTGATGTATTATTGGATTGGAAAACTATAATAATTAGTATATATAGCTGAGGTTCTAGGTGTATATTAGTAATTTAGATTAGATACGATATATTTGGTTCCTAATGAATTTTTGGATAATCAAAGTTGATGTTATTATTATAGATCATCGAAACGTGGAAAGTGCGGCGTATATCGTCACGGTCTAGTTTTAAATAAAGTATTTGACACAATAATTTTCATTGTGAGTGATGTATACAGAATGGGTCATTAAAGATATTCAATCGTTCATGTAGGTATATAAATATGCGAAGTCACGATAGTAAAGTTTACAGGCCGAAATGAAACCCCACTGGCAAGCATACAACACTATTCAGAACATTTACTATCATTAGATGATGTATATAAGATCACAGCGTTTCGATCCTTTATCTACACTTCATCATTCAGATGAAATTCAAATACTGTCTCATGTTTGCAATGAGGATTTCATTTCATTGCATCTACTCCTACATATATGCTTAAATATCGTTACACACTCCCAGACACAAACACAAATATCGTAATTTTCCATCCTGAGGACCAAAATACATATTCAAAATTTTCTGGGTCATGATCCTTACAAACAGGCCTGATCGAACAATCACCACTTCTACACCTGTATTGTCTTTCCTATCACATAACCAGACCATTAGCAGCTGGTGTCTCGTGTCTCGTGCCGCACATTTCTCCTCTACATGCTTCTTTCCGTGGTCGCTCGCCCAGTATCAACCCAACAATATGACTATCTTGACACTCACAGCGTGTGCCAATAGCATACTCTAGCTGCTGCATCATCTGCGACGAACTTTCAGCTCCAAGTCGACTATCTCATCGGTTAAGTCTTCAATTCTTGTAACCAAGTTTATCATAGCTGCAGTCTCTACTTTAGGAGACTTATCTATAGCGTCATTGAGTCTGTCAAATGTTTTGTTCCACTTCTCAAGCAGAGTCTTTGAATGTCCAGAAGTTCTGGTCGCGGATAGTGTTGCAGAGCAGTCCATTTGTCTTGCTTCGATCCCGGCCCAGCGTGGATGCTCACTAGGTTCATATCTATACAACTCGTCGAAGACTTTTTCGGCATCTTCTTCATACTCTTCTGGAACAAAGTTACCCTCGAACAACGCAGGATCGGCGGCCGCGTTACCCCTATGGGCAGCAACATTGCCATTTGTTCTCAGAGCCATATCTGCCTCGTTTCTAGAGATACCGAGGGCGGTCTCTCGAGCTTGATCTAGGAACCGAAGTCGTATGTCTACTCCTATCTTGACCAATGGCTCTTTAATATCGCTCATCTCTTTCAGTTCCTGGTAATTCTGTCGTATAGAATTGCGGCTCTGGAGCAAATTGGAATATTTTGTTGTCATATTAGTGAGCTTTTCCTCAACATCTTCCAGTTTAATCCGAAAGGCATTTCGCTTCTCTTTAGAGGATTTTGCATCTGCCTTGTACCGTTGACGTTCAAGTCGGTACCTATCAGCATCTTCAACGAGCTCATTATGTTCATCTTCAAGAGTGTGGTAATCATCCTTCAGACTATCATATTTTTGCTCTAGCTGCTGCAGGCGACCAGAAGTTGAGGCTGAGCTTGACTGCTGCTGTCGGATTTCGCGATTTTCAGCTCTCAAACATGAATTTTGCCGTTCTAGCGTCGTCCTATGTTTCCGTTCCATATCCAGCGTGAGCTCGCTAGCGGTAAGGTTTTTCTTCGACTCGTTTAGCTCAGTGGAAAAGGACTTTGCTGATGCAAGTGCATGACTCTTTTGTGTTTCCAATATTGAGATAGTCTCTGTAAGTTTCGCCACAATTTCGTTCACTGCCTCGGACTTCAAATCAAGCTCCTTTCCTTTTGTTCGAGCCATTGAAGTTTGCTCTCTAATTTTTCGTAGGTCAGTCGATGCTTTTTGACGTGTCGCTTCTGCCTCCTTGAGATCCAAATACATGGCATCCATCTCCTTTTGATAAATTTCATTGAGCCGATCCAGTTGCTTCTGCATTTCCAGTTTGTGTTTATTGTTCAGAACTTCGATCGAGGCACAAAAAGAGCCAGCTTGTGTCTTCGAAAATTTAAGTTCATCCTCTTGTCGAGCCGTCTTTTCGGTCAATTTGATGCTCGGTTTTGATTCTAATGACATTGACTTCATGGCGCAGATGACGCATTCGACGGCATCTAAAGATTGAGAAATGGACATGACCGACGAATTCTCGAATGATCTTGTTGAATTGGGATCTTGATCTTCTCGCTGATCGTTTCCTCTGTCAGATAACGAGACCCTTTCCTGGCATACTCCGTATTTTCTGTCTCGACGTGTGAAGACTTTGTTAACTTGACAAGTGTGCGAGAAAAGCTCATCTTGCGACCTGGGACTGTGGCTATTTTCTCTTCACTGGCTGCCATCAAGGTTGCAGACACTTGAGACTTCGCTTTCTTCAACATGGCTTTCCTAGCAGTTTCCGCTCTCTCCCCATCTTCGTTCGACTTCTTATCATCTTTAAAC